GCCGCGAGGCCGCGGCGAGGCCGCGAGGCCGACGTCCGCGCCTTCGGCGCGTCGCCGTCGAGCATCTCCTCGACGCCCGTCAGCGTCGACGCGTCCCAGGCATCGACGCTCTCGTTGAAGGCGGCGTTGGCGTCGAACAGCTCCTCCATCGTCGTCACCTTGGGCACGTTCCAGCCGCCGACGTCCTCGCGCCGGAGCGCGGCGACGGCTCGCGCGCGCCCGGGCCGCGAGGACGTCGGCGGCTGGAACGTGCCCAAGGTGACGACGATGGAGGAGCTGTTCGACGCCAACGCCGCCTTCAACGAGAGCGTCGATGCCTGGGACGCGTCGACGCTGACGGGCGTCGAGGAGATGCTCGACGGCGACGCGCCGAAGGCGCGGACGTCGGCCTCGCGGCCTCGCCGCGGCCTCGCGGCCCCGCTGCGGACTCGCGCTCGCCTCCGACCCCGCAGACGCACCCCGCCCCCCCCCCGCCCCCGGCGCGTAAACGACGCGGCGCACCGCGTCACTAGACTGCGCGATCGTCGACGGCGGAGGAGTCCGCCGCGTGCTGGGACGGCCACGGCGCCTCCGGGACGAGTGAGCGGGACGACAGGGGCGCGTGTCGGTCGCCCGGCGGAGCTGCGAGACGCGCAGCTCGCGCCGACGACGACACGCGAAGGTCCGCCAGGCGCCTCGAGGTTGAACTTGAGCAATATATTGAAAGGCAATGTGGTTTGTTGAACAAAGGACAAAACAGATAGGCTGCCGACAGTGATTGCGCTCGTGCCGAGTCACGGCCAGTCGTTCTCGCCCGTCGCCGCCGCCGCGTCGACAGTCGCGGCGCCGCGCGCCACTCGCGCCGCCCGTCGCGGCGGCGGCCGGAGGGCCGTGATGGACGGGCCGATTCGGGAGACGAAAACACTTCAGCAAATCGCCCAGACCGGCTTTGAAAAGGAGCGCCAAAATTCCATCATGGACGTGCTAGACGACCAGAATGTCTCCTCCAAGCGCGCGAACGCCGAGCTCGAGCACCTGCGCAAGGCGTTCAACAAGGACAAGAAGGCCCAGCGGCCCAGCCGCTGGACGCCGCCGCTCAACACGCTCCGCGAGAAGTTGGTTTCCGCGTTACCCCCCCCCCCGGCCCTTATAATCTGGAGCCGCGGGAACGTCGGCGCGCGCAGCGCCACGCGGACGTCGACGGCGAGGCCCTCGGCGACCGAGCAAACAGCAACGGCAGAGGCGGACGCCGTCGACGGAGGTCGTACTCCGGGCCCTTCGTGGGGGGGAGGGCCATCGCTCACGGTGACGCTCTCCGTCGACGGGATGGCCGCGTCCGTCGCGTACTCGACGAGGTAGGACATGATCTCGTCGCCGCCGTCCCACGTCGGGCCGCTGAACTGGACCGGGGGGTTCGGGGTCGACACGGTCGACAGGACGACGAACGTCGGCGCGCCGGGCGTCGTCGTGGGCCTCATGGCCGAGTCCGTCGCCTGGGGCAGCGAGTATCCGACGCTGTTGATCGCCGTGTGGTAGTAGAGCAGGCCGTCCTGGAGGCCGCTGCCGTCGGACGGCGCGACGCGGGACGCGCCCACCGCGGGCGACTCGTAGTCGTCGACGAGCGCCGACGGGATGCGGTCCGTGTCGATGGTGTAGGTCGTGACGCCCGTGCCCTCGAAGGAGGAGCTCGTCTGGAGCTCGTAGTGCGTGGCCTCCTGGAGGCCGCTGCCGTCGGACGGCGCGACGCGGGACGCGCCCACCGCGGGCGACTCGTAGTCGTCGTCGCGGCCCTGTCGAGCTTCTCGATGACGTACTCGCGCGCGTTCCACGGGAGGTTCGACGCGCCGAGCGGGTCGCCCTCGACCTGGAAGAGCGTGAGGTTGCCGCGCTGGATGACGCCGTCGAGGCAGCCGCTGTAGGTGCAGTTGTTCTTGTTGACCAGGCCGTTCTGGGCCGTGAAGGCCGTCACGTTCTGGTACTCGGTCTCGAACGGGTTGCAGCCGCCGTCCATGAAGCCGTCGCGGCCGACGCGGCCCTTGCTCGTGTAGTTGAACACGAGGCCGTGGTTCGACTCGGGCGCGTCGACGTCGCCGGCGCCCACGAAGGACACGCGGTAGAGGTAGGCGTTGGGCGCCAGGTCCGGGCCCGTCGTGAGCGGGCCGCTCCGCGAGACCGTGACCTTGGACGGCGAGATGCTCTGGAGCGCGTTGAGCTGCGCCTCGACGTCCTCGGCGCTCGCGTCGTAGGAGACGACGCCCGTCGTGTAGCCGTTGAAGCGGAGCTGGAAGGAGCCGTAGATCTGCGCGCCCTCCTCCTCGACGCTCACGGAGACGGACGCGCCCGTGCCCGAGAGCTGGGTGGCGTCCGTGCCGAGCAGGGCGACGTCGCCGCCGACCTCCGCGGAGCGGTAGGTGATCGTGTACGTGTACGCGGCGGCGCGGTTCGGGCTCGAGCTGCGAGAGACGTCGACGACGTCGCGGCCCGCGAAGAGCGCGGCCTGGAACTGGGCCTTGAAGGCGGCGTCGGAGATGGCCTTGTAGGACGTCGCGTTGGCGACGCTACAGGCCGTGTCCGCGGACGTCGTGTCCCCGAAGGTGAGGCCGTAGCTGCCGGAGACCTGGCCGCCGTCCGCGGCGACGCCCGTCGAGTCGAGGCCGAAGGTGTAGGAGTTCGCGTCGCCCTGGTACGTGTCCTCGGAGCCGCTCGACTCGTCCTCGACCTCGAGCGTCACCGCGGAGTGGCCCCAGTAGGAGCTCGCGAGGCTCTTGGTCTTGGCCGCGTAGGACACGGTCACGTTCGACTCGACCTTCATCTGCGGCACGTTGCCGATGGCGCTGAGGAAGGTGACCGTCCAGGCGTAGCCGCCGGACCAGCGCGCGTCCGTCGACGGCGTGTAGGCGGAGCGCGAGACGTCGACGAGGCCGAAGGCGAGGCTGACGCCGTCGCCCGCGCCGACGCGCTCCATGACCGCGTCCATCGTGTCCGACGGCGAGTTCCAGCGGAGGCCCGTCGCGTTGAAGGGGCTCGGCTTGGCGACGCGCTCGTTGGGCCAGTAGGTCGTGAGCGAGAAGTCGCCGTCGGCGAGGGAGCCGTCCTGGAGCGTCGTGACGTTGCAGTACGCGCTGGTCGCGTCGGACGACGCCGTCAGGTAGGACGTGTCGCAGACCATGGGCTTGAGGTCGCCGTGCAGCGCGAGGAACTCGACGTCGACGTAGAGGCCGACGTAGCTGCCGTTGCCCGGGAGGGGCTTGGCCGCGGTGACGACGAGGTAGTCCGACGCGGACTCGATCGTCGCGACGGAGCGGAGCGTCGAGGACCACGTCGCCGCGGACGCGTCGACGTTGATGACGTCCGTGGACCGCACGCGCGACGTCGCGCAGGCCGAGGAGACGCCGTCGTCGGACGAGGGGTCGCTGTAGAAGACGCCGACCTCGGCGTCCGTGAGCACGGCCGTGGACCCGGCGTACGCCGTCGCGAAGGAGACGTTCGCCTGGTACGAGCCGTCGCCGTAGACCTTGTCGACCTCGTAGTAGGAGTCGGACGTCGTGCCGAGGCGGACCCAGTCGCCCTTTTTGACGGTGACCTGGGCGCCGTTGAGGAGCGCGGACGTGGACCCGTAGGTCACGGCCGCGCTGTCGAGCGGCGACGTGCGCGCCTCGCACTCGTACTCGAGCTTGATGGAGCCGTCGGGCTGGTTGCCCTCGAGGATCGAGTAGGCGACCTGGTCATCCAGGTACGCGAAGCCGAGCTCGTCGGGGCAGCTCGAGGAGCACGTGGAATCGCAGCAGGAGCTGAGGTAGCCGATCGTGTCCGAGCCCGAGACGGCCGTGTAGCCGCCGTACGTCGACGAGTACGTCGAGAGCGCGGAGGACGTCGTGAGCGCGATCGACGGCACGTTGTCGCGGTGGTGGCGGCCCGTGAAGGTGACGCGGTACTCGACGTGGTAGACGCCCGTGCACGTCGTGCCGGAGCCGCCGCCGGCCTGGACGTCGTCGACGATCGCGAGCGCGCGCGCGCGTCACGTCGCGGCCGACGCCGTCGGCGTCGATGATGATCTGCATGCTCGAGTAGGGCATGGCCTGGAACGCCGTCTCCATGTCGGCCGTCGACAAGAGCACGTTCGACGAGTCGTAGAGGTCGATGGAGGCCGCGGTGCGGTCGTTCGTCGGCACGCTGTCGCGGGAGGTGGTGCTGTCCTCGTCGACGCCGCGCTGGCAGAAGTCGACGTCCGCGGCAAGGCCACAGTCCGTGATGTCCCACGAGATGTCGAACGTCGGGACGACGCTCTCGCGGTCCGCGTCGGGCGCGCCCATCGACGCCTCCAGAGAGCACTGGTTCGTGTCCGCGTTGAGCACGCAGAAGCCAAAGGCCTGGACCTCGGGCGTGTCGCCGACGGCGGAGGTGACGCACTGCTTCTCGGCGACGCTCTCGACGCCGCGCAGACGGCCAAGGATCTCGTCGCTGATCGTCGCGGACGCGAGGACCGTCTGGATCTCGTCGACGTCGACGGCGGACGTCGTCAGCGTCTGGACCTCGGGCGTCACCTCGTCGGCGGACGTCGTGATGGTCTGCACCTCTCGTCGACGCCGTCGACGGACGTGCGCACGGTCTGCTTCGCGCGATCGAGCTACCCGCCATCGGCTGGGCTGCCTTTTTACATGCTTCAAAGACGCTAGGTTGCCCTGGGAGTTGCATCAATAACTCTGGTCGTCGATGGTCGACACATGCGGCGATTGATGCCGCTGTCGCAGCTTCCCCTCTTTCCGACCGCCAATGAGCACGAGCGCACTCCCACGGCTTTTGCCGTGCAGATCGAGCAGGCGGCGCGCACGGGCAACACACGGTGGCTTCGAAAAACCGTGTTGTCTTCAGGAGAGAGCGACGGCGGCCCCGACACATTTATCGGCAAACTGCAGTATGCGCTGATGCGCGGATGTGCCAAGACGACTGCGGCGGGTCCTGGGCTCTTGTCCCTGTTGGAACGGTGTCTGCACCGCGCCACAAAGCCGTGCGAAGCCGGCTGGCGCCGCGCGTGGCGTCACGCGCGCGCGCTGTTCGCGTGCGTGTGCTTGGAACGCGCCCTTCACTCTTCGACCGCGGCTGCGGCACGTGCGGCGGCGGCGGCGGCGGCGGCGGCGGCGGCGGCGACGGGAGCTACGACGGCGGAGGCCGAGCGCGCGACGGCGGCCGCGCCGGCGCCGCCGCCGAATGCGAGCCTCGTGGCCGGTGTCGAGGCGCCGGTCGCGAGCCCCCTGGCCGACGAGGCGCCAGAACCGCGGCGTGGCAGCCGCGTCCGACGGCCACCCGGCGAGCCGCGAGGAACGGTATATCCGAATGGAGGGCTCAAGCCCGCGGCCGCGCCGGCGTTGCCGTTGAAAAGGAAGTTGCCGAGTCCATCGCCCCTGACGCCGCACGTGACCATGTGGGCGTACAGGATGGAGGTGGACACGACCTACTCGCCGTGCGACCAGGAGGGCATCCTTTCCCAGTGTCTTTGCTCTACTTCGATCCGGCGAGGCGCGCACAACGGCGACCTCGTCGTGGGCATCGCGGGCGCGAGGACGGCCGGGAGGAAGCTGCTCGTCGCCTGGGCCGGGACCGTGGCGTGCGTCCTCCCCGTCGCCGACTACCACGGCGGCGTCGACTACCACGGCAGGAAAGACCAGATCTACTCGGTCGTGTCCGGAGAGCTCCATCTCTCCGCACGCCACGACCTCCACCGCCACCTCCAGGACGCTCAGGCGAACGACAAGAAGCACAACGCGCTCATCTTCCTGCACTACTGGAGGGCGTCTTCGATGTACCTCGAGACGCGCGAGGTGCCCGAGGGCATCTGGCCCTCGGAGGTCAGTCTACCGGGCGTCACCGACGGGGGCTGCATGGGCGCCCGCCGATCGACGATCACCGTCGCCGAGCGCGACGCGTTCGTCGACGCGCTCATAGGAGCAAAGTAATTACCCTAGTCGAGTCGTGGGCCGGGGAGGTTATCGCCAGGGCGGCCGGGCTACTCGTCTGGGCCTCCTCCGGATCCGGAGCTCGTCTGGCGAGCGCGGAGGTGCCCGCGGTGAAGTAGACGCAGTAGAGGTAGGCGTCGCCGTGCGCGCCGCCGTCGAACACGGCGGGCCAGTTGTGGCCTTCCCCGCCGTCGAACACGCTGTTGAGGCTGGCCGCGTCGCCGCGGGCGCCGCGCGGGCGCCGCGCGGAGCCGCCGCGCCGTCGTACGCCGACGCGGCGTCGAGCAGAGGTTCGGGCTATCGGAGCGCCGATGTCCACGGCGAGGCGGCCGCGACCCGGCTGTCGTCGAAGCTGGCCGACGTCGCGGAGGAGGCGTCGGCGAAAGCGTGGACCTCGAGAGCGTCGCGCTGCATCTCGGCGACGCTCTCGACGGGCACGCTCACGACCTGGACCTCGGCGCGAAGAGGCGTCGTCGACGTCGAACCCGCTGGCGAACGGGTCCCACCGTTGCGCCGCCTCGGCGTCGTCGACAAGCGCATCCGGGTCGTGGGCGTCATTGTCTCCCATGGCCATGTCAAAAACGAGTGTTGATGGGGGGGGGGAAACAAGTGGGTAAACATTCGATCCTTGAACTTTGCGAAGCATGCCCCGAGAACCCTCTCCTCGTGACCTCGTCCTCCCCGAGGGCAACAGGCGCCGGCCTATCTGGACTTAGCTCGGTCGGCGTTGACTCCTGCGGTCGCCTACGGAGTCTCTACCCGCGCGGGCGTTTGCCGCGCGGGGCGTCACGGTTCTGGTGGCCCGGGACCGCCTGGGTGAGGTTCACCCAGGTCTGGGCCCCTCCGGGGTGCTCGTAGGCGAGGGGCGTCTCGTAGACGACGGCGTCCTTGACGAACCAGCCGTAGCAGTCGCGGTAGTTGATGCGCGCGCGGAGCGCGTCGGCCGTGTCGGGCTCGCCGTCGTCGCGCGCGCGCACGCGGTGCCGCGGCTGGAGCTCGAGGAGCTCGTCGTCGGTGAGCGGGCCCCGGCACTCGACGAAGGTGCACTCGCCGTAGACCCGGCTCGTGCCACAACAGATCAATCCCAACCTCGTGCCGACCTCCTTCTTCGAGACCGTGCCACGGAGCTCGACGGTCTTCACGCCCCGCAGGATCTTCTCGAGCCACTCGGGATGGACACACAGGGCCGTATCCGGCCAGGAACCGGGGACGACGCGCTCCGTCGACGCCAGCGCCGCGTCCATCTTCACCGTGGCGGCCGGCGCGCGCGCGGGCGCGCGCCGGCCGGGCGCGGGCGCGCGCCGCCCGGGCGCCGGCCCTCGCCCCCCCGCCCCCGCCGCGGGCGGCGCCCGGCCCGTCGCCACCGCCGGTCGAGGCGCCGGCGGCGTCATCCATAGCCCCAGGATTTCCTTCGTCGCCTGGGCTACCTCTCGATCGCCACTCAATGTCACCAAAATCGCCACCCAATCTCTCGCATCGTCGCGCTCGTCGGCCCCCAGCGCCCCGAGCTCGAGGAGCCGCGCGAGGACGGGGCGCATGGCGGCGCCGGGCGCCATGGCCCCGAGCCGCCGAAACAGCTGCCTGCGCTCGGAGCGGCTCATGGGGCTGCTCACATTCGATGCGGGCGACTCAACATTGCATGCAAACTTTGTCCAACAACCTAAGTTGAACAACTGACGCGACACACGAGTCGACTCGGCGAGGCCCGACCTACCTGCGCCGTCGGCGTGGCCGTCGGCGCAATGGTGTTCCTCCTGCAGCGCATGCCGCTGCTGTGCTTCCTCGTCGTCATCAATTCCGAACTCACTCGCAACCACGCCGACTACACGTGCTGGACGAGCAAGCTCTGCGGCGGCGAGGAGAGCAAGCCCTGGCGCAAGGTCATCTGCCTGATCGTCGCCGTGTACGCGTCCAAGGACCTGTTCAGCGACCTCGTGCGCGTGGGCGTCCAAGGGCCGGTGAGCGCCATGGAGGCGGTTCGCGCCGTCGGCTTCCTCTTCACGCCCGAGGCGCACGCGGCGCGTCTCGTCGCGGGCCTTGTCGTGCCGCAGCGCCACTGGTCCTTCAGCTGGAACCAGCTAGAGGACTTCGTGTACGCCTGCGGCCACGCGCTCTGCGCGCGCGAGCTGGGCATGCCGTGCGGCCACGGCGATCTCGCGGCGTACGGCGACCTCCTCGTGGGCCTCGGCCTCATCCAGGTCGTGATCCACGTCGCGGAGAACGGCACGCCGACGCTGTTCCTCTGCGACGGCAACGTCGTCCTCTTCGTCAACAAGATCTTGTCCCTGGGTGGGCACGAGCAGTGCAAGGCCACGCCCACCCTCGTCCTGCTCATCTTCTTCTTCTTCGGCATCGGCGACGACGACATGCGGCAGTCGGCGCGCGCCTTCATTTACGCAGCCTGCCACTTTGGGGCAATGTCGATGTCCGGGGTCCACCTCCTGAACCAGTTCTTCACGGCCTACGACGCCACCGCCCACTTCCTCGCGATCGGACCGATCGCGAAGATCGTCGAAGCGGCCGGGAACCGCTTCCACTTCAGCGAGACGGCCTTCCTCGACGACGGCGCGGCCCGCGCGATCCTCGGGAACCAGATCAAGATCTCGACGTTCCTCCTCAAGATCCTCGGCGGCGAGCTCGCGACGCGCATGCTCGACGTGGGCTTCCCGTCGGAAGCCTGGGCCGCCAACATCGCGTCGTGCTGGGCCGCCCTCGAGGACCAGAAGGCCTCGACCTGTGTGCAAATCGACCACCGGTTTCGGACGTCCCGACCAAACTTCAGAATTCTCTAGCTCGGTCAAATCGAAGTCGATTCGGCTGATTTTTGGACGAATCGATTGCTCTCGTCGAGCTCTCGAAGCACGGCCGAACATCTCGCGTCAAAACGGTCAAATACGCTCACATTGAAGTCGGGTTGAAGATTTGAGTTCCACACAGGCCTCGACGGACCGTTTGAAAACAGCCTGGGGCGTGCCGGGCTTCGCCTGGCGCGCCGTCTTCATCTTCGGCGGCTCGCTGGGGCCGCAGTCGAGCCGCAGCGTGCTCCGTATCAAGGTCTCCTTCGCGTCCGGTGACGACGCGGCCCTGCGCCAGGCGCTCTTCGGCGTGATCGCCGTCGCGTTCGCGTTCGGCGAGCAAGTGTCCGGCCGCCCGCTCCGGCTTCCATCGTGGGTCAGCGACGACGTCATCAGCAACGCCGTCAAGAACTTCCTCAAAGCCGGCACGCCCTGCATCCTCGCCCGGCTCGCGGTCACCATCGCCGCCGAATCAGCCGAGACCGCGACGCCCGCGGAGCCCTTCGGCCCCAGGCGCCGCCAGCTCTGCTCCGAGAGGTCTAGGGGCGTCGGCATCCCGGTGACGCTCGAGGAGGAGCTGCGCGGCGGCTTCGACGACCTCTTCGCGCGCGCCTCCTGGCCCGAGACCTTCACCTCCGTCTTCGCGGACTGCGCCTCCAACGGCCCCGCGGAGCGCCGGACCCGCCGCATCGAGGAGCTGCGCCGCCGGTTCGCGGCCGGGGACGACGCCGAGCGCCGCTACGACGTCGAGATCGAGGAGCGCGAGCTCCGCAATCGCGTGCTGTTGTGGCTGCGCGCGAGCCGCGCGGCGTCCGAGGAGCGGCGAGTGGAGCGGCGCGCGCGGCTCCTGCAGCGCCGCCACGAGACCTGAGGGCGCAGCCGCCCTCGTCGCGCGCGCCCCCGCGTCGCGGCGCGCGTCTATAAGAGGGCCGTCTGCGGTGGCAGGACCCCTGCCTCCGCGGCCAAGCCCAGCAGCCCAGCGAAGTCTCAGGGAAGTGCAAGGTGAGCTTCAACGTCTCTTCAAGGCTCGTCTGTCGTGGCACGATCGCCGACCGCTTCGAGATCGAGGTCACGGCAACGCGCGTGCTCTCCGACGCCTCGTCGACGCGAGCCCGCGTGCGATGGACGTCGAAGGCGCCCTCGACCGCAAAGGATGCTCCATAATCATGCATAACCTCGATGGGTGGCCCTTACCTAATTACGGTCAAGGCCCAGAAGTCGGCCCCGACACCATCATGCCTCTTCGGATGTTCGACCCGAGCAAGAGCCCGGGGACCGACCGCAACCTGTTCCGCGACGCCGTGCCCCCCGGCGGCGAGGAGCTCATGCCTGGCAACGCGGCCGGCGGCGACGACTCGCGGTACTACGACCTGAGCGACACGCTGTGGAACAATGGCAAGGGCATCCGCGTCGACTACCCGGTGTCGACGGAGGCGCTGGACGACAGGGCATGGACCAGGGATGACTTCGTGCGCCGCATCTTCACAGGCTCTCCCCCCGCCCTCGAGCTCCCGCCGCCGCCCGCGGACGACAGCGACGACGACGGCCGTCACGACGGCGGCGCGGGCGGCGGCGCGCACGACCCCGTCGAGTCGCACCAGGCCCGGGAAAGGCGGCTGGGGGTCCTCGGGGCGTGCTGCTTGTCGTGCCTGAACCCCGTGACGGATACGGGGACCTACTCGACGCTGAAGCGGTGCGCGGTGTGCGCGGGCCTCATGGCCGACGCGCTGCGCGAGGCCGAGGCCCTCATTGCCCAAAATGGCGGCGGCGCGGACGGCGAGCGCGCGGCGATCAAGAAGTTCTTCCGTTTCGACCCGTTGGGGGAACTCCCCTACGACGAGAGGAGCTTAAACGACAACTCGATGAACCAGAAGCTCGAAGATTTTATCGACGACCCGGCGCCGTTCCGCTGTTCCGTTGGCAACCATGAATGTTTCTCAAGAAAGGAAGCAAATGAATATGTCCAGGGAAAACACATTGTTGCGCCAGATGGTGAATTTGAAATAAACCACGTTGTCTTCAGTGCCGTTGGAAAAGCCAAGGGCCTACCCGTCTATTTCACGGCGACGCGCGAAGGCGAGTGTCGGAAATTTGGTTTTCATCAGCCTGGTGGTTATTTACGACGAGTCGGAGCCCGAGCCGAAGACGGAGCCCGAGGCCGACGAGCCCGAGCCGAAGGCGTAGCTTACATTCCGGAGATTGAAGGTCTAAAAAAAGGCCAAAAAGTTAAAGATGAAATTTTAAATCGTTATTTCAATCCGGATGACCCATCCTATCAAAGGTATATGCCCCAGGGCGCCGGACGGAAGCCTGGCCGGAAGTTTTACCTTAGGCGGCGGCCCGTCGTCCCGCCGCCACCCGCGGAGGCCGTCGCCGCGCTGCCACCGGCGGAGGCCTTCGCGTCGCCGGCGCGCGCGGCGGTCGTCGTCCCGCCGCGGCCTGCGGAGCCCGTCGTCCCGCCGCGGCCCGCGGCGGTCGTCGTCCCGCCGCCGCCCGCCCGTTGCACGTGCACGCTCGTACCCTGCCTCTGCGGGTACTACCCTTCTCCCCCAGGAGGCTTCCACGCCAGAACCTCCTGACCCCCAAACTGACCCCCCCCCACGCACACGCACACACACACGCACCGGCGCGCTCTCCTCTGCTGCACTGAGCTTCGTTCTGGCGAGCTCAAAGCAAGACAGCGCGTCCTTTTTTTAGCATTTATAAGTGCCAGTGGGCTTTCTAGTGAGACTTTGCTTAAGACTCCCGCCGGCGAGAAATCACCACTCGTCCAACCGCGCGCGCTTGGGATCCGGGCAGCCCCCGGACTCAGCATCATCGTCATCGGACACCGCCCGCTTCACGCCGCCGCCGAACGCCCGCAGGTCGCCCAGCAGCCCGTCGCCGCCGCTCTCGAGCGCCGGCGACCGCGCGGCCGACCGCCCGTTGAGCGCGTCCGCGAGCGTCGGCGCGCAGACCTCGAGCTCCTCGCGGTCCTCGCGGTCGAGCAGCGCGAGGAGCGGGTCCACGGCGGCGCCGGGCGCGCCGTCGGGCGCCGCGACGGCGCGCGACAGCGCGCGGCGGACGCCGTTGAGCAGGTCCACGTCCGTCGCGTCGAGGACGAGCGGCAAAGCGACGCGCAGCTCGTCCGGCGAGCCCGGCGCGAAGAGCTCGGCGCCGACCAGCGCCGAGTCCGCCGCGACCCAGCGCGCGTCGCGCGCCGCCGCCAGCAGCAGCAGCTCCGCGGCGCCCTTGGGCTCCGCGGGGAGCAGCGTCGGCTGGTGCGCGAGCTGCCGCGACTTGGACGCGCCGCGCGCGCTGTAGAAGGGCGCCACGAGGTAGCGCGCCTTCGTAGCCGCGGACTCGTAGGGGTCGACGAAGTGGCGCGCCGACGGCGACGACCAGGTCGCCTCGACGCACGCGCGCGCGCCGGGCCGCTCGAACGCGAGCGTCGGCGCCGAGAGCCGCGGGTCCCGGAGGTGGAGGTGCGACCCGTCGCCGAGGGGCAGCTTGACCGACGCGCGCACGCCCGCGGACCGCGCGACGGCCGCCGCGTCCTTGGCGGACCGCGTCGTCACCTCGAGGCGCCACTCGGAGTCGCCCGCCGCCGCGCCGTCGTCGTCGGGCTTCGCGTCGAGTCCTTCGTAGACCTGGGGGCGAGAAACGTGCCAACTTCCGAGAACGAGCGATCTCTCCAAGTCCGGATGCCTTTCTGTCGACGATTGGTTGCGAAACACTCACGATCTTCTCTCGACGCATTCTCAAGGGTGAACAACTTCTCTCGACGCAAAAAAACACTCGATGCCCGCCCTGTCGTACGCACGGCGTCGAAGTCGCGCTCCCGCTCGTCGCGCTCCTCGTGCTCGTCGCGCTCCTCCTTGTCGCCGTCCTCGGAGAGGCCGTCGACGTCGAGCAGCGCGACGGGCGCGTCCGCGGCCGGCGGCGGCGCGGCGGCCGGCGCGGGCGGCGCCGGGGGCGGCGCCGGCGCCTTCTGCTCGACGTCCATGGCGTCGCCCTCCCTGTAGACGCGGCAGGCCGTCGCGCCCCAGGCGCCAAAGGCCTCGAGCGCCGCCGCCTCGCCCGCCTCGCGGTCGTCGTCCGCCGGCGGCGGGTCCAGCCGGAACACGACGACGCCGCGCGTCTCCGGGTCCGACGCGCGCGCCACGGCCGACGACACGCAGGGCGCGAAGCAGCAGAGCAGCGCGAACTTGCGCACCGTCGTCGCCAGGGCCGGCCGGTCCGAGAGGCGCCGCGCGAGGTCGCCGCGGCGCGCGCGCGACCGGCCGAGGGCCTTGCGCTCCTCGGGCGCGACGCGGAGCCCGACGACGCGGTCGTAGGTCGACGCGAGGCGCCGCGCGAGCGCGTCGACCTCGACGAGGCGCTTGAAGGACGCGTGGTTCGACCGCGCGTAGCGCGCCGCGTCGTCGCGGCTCCCGTGGTCCAACTTGCGCTTGAACTCGCGGAGGATCGCCACCGTCGCGAGCGCGTCCGAGTACTGGGCGCGCTCCCAGACGTTGCGCCGCGGCGCGAAGTGGGCGACCTCCTTTTTCGCCTGGTCGAGGCTCAGCGCCTTGGCGTCGCCGACGTCCGAGATCTCCTCCTCCTCGCCGTCCTTCCTCGGGGGCCGCGCCTCGAAGGGCTGCAGGAAGACGTCGCGCAGGCTCACGCTCGCGGCGACGACGGCCATGTCGTCGACGCAGCCCAGCGCGGCGCCGAAGGCCAGCAGCCGCCCGACGTTCGCGTCGATGTCCAGGCGGGCGACGAGCTCGCCGAGCGGCTCGACGGCGAAGCCCGCGTCGGGCGACCCGCGGACGCAGCCGATGCGCACGAGGCTCATCAAAGCCTCAATGACCTCGCGCGGGTCCGGCGCGTCGAGCGCCTCCGACAACAACCGCGCGGGCTCGGAGTCGAGGAGCAGGGCTTTGAGCGCGACCGTCGGGAGCGGCGCGCGGACGATCTCCGGCGCGATGTAGGGCGGCATGTGGGCGTCGTGCGTCTCCTTGGAATATAACCGCACGCAGGCGCCCGAGGCGACGCGGCCGCAGCGGCCCGCGCGCTGCGCCGCGGACGCGCGCGAGCAGTGGCGCGTGAGCAAAGCCTGCGTCCGCGTCCGCGGGTCGTAGACCGGCAGCTTCTCGAGCCCGAAATCAACGACGACGCGCACGCCGGGCACGGTCACGGACGACTCGGCGATGTTCGTCGTGATGACGACGCGCGGCTTCGCGCGGCCGTCGTCGGGCGACGACAGCGCGGCGCGCTGCGCCTCGTCGTCGAGCGCGCCGTGGAGGGGCAGCACCTCGTAGCTCCGGCCCAGCCCCTCGCGGCGGCACAAGGCTTCCAGCTCCTCGATCTCCGCGACGCCGGGCACGAAGACGAGCACGTCGCGGCGCTTCGCGTCGTCGCCCGGCGGCAGCAGGGCCTCGCCGAGCTCCGGCGCGGCCGCGAGCGCCTTCAAGAAGGCGACGCAGCCCCGGCAGGCCGCGGGCTCGAAGCGCGCGTTCTTCGACCGCCCCGTCGGCCGCGTCTCGTCCCATGGTTCCACCGCCTCCTCGCCGTCCTTCGTCGCGGCGACGACGTCCTCGAGGTGGTGGATGCGGACCTCGTGCGGCCGCGTGCCCACCCTGAGGTGGGGCGCGGGGCCGTCCGCGCCGCCGAAGAACTGGGCCAACCGCGCGGCGTCGACCGTCGCCGACATGATGACGATCGTCGGCCGCGGGCCCTCCACACCTCCCTCCCCGCGCGCGAGGCGCCGCAGCGTCACGAGCACGAGATCCATGTCGACGTCGCGCTCGTGCGCCTCGTCGACGACGACGTGCGTGTAGCTCTCGGCGACGGCCGCGCGGTGGTGCGTCAGCAGCTGGAGCAGCACGCCCGTCGTCATGTAGACGCACTTGGCCTTGGAGCCGTCGTCGCCGTCGTCGACGCCCGCTTTTTCTCCGGACACGTGGTAGCCGACGCTCGCGCCGACGGCCTCGCCGCGCTCCGCGGCGACGCGCCGCGCGACGGCGACGGCCGCGCAGCGCCGGGGCTGCGTCACCAAAACCCGCGGCTTGCGGCCCCAGGCGTCCTCGCCGACGCCGTCCATGACGTACTGGGGGACTTGCGTCGATTTCCCGCAGCCCGCGTCGCCCGTGATGACGACGGCGCCGCGGGCCCCGCAGAGGGCGACGACCTCGGCCTTGTAGGCCGCGACGGGCAACTCCGCGCGCTTGTCCGCGGCGGCCTTGTCGCGCGTCCACGTCATGCGCGGCGCGGCGCGGCCCTTGCCCTTGCCGCGCGACGACCCGCGGCCGCGCGAGCTCCGCCCGCCGCCGCCGCGCGACCACGACCGCCCGCCGCCGCCGCGCGACCACGACGACGACGGGCGGCCCATGGCTGTTGTTGCTTGCTTACTGCGACGAATGTGTAGAGCTTAATGGCTTCCCATGCGCTCGCCGCTTTTGCGGCTTCGTGCCCTCATCCTGAAGGAAGCTTCTTCGCGCGCGCGCGCGTCCGCAGCCGTCGAACGGAGGGCCTTGTCCACAGGCGGCGCCGAGGCGGGCGGGCCAGACCCGGCGCTCGGCGTCGTGGGACGCCGCTCCCTTCGCAGAAGACCGCAGCCTAGGTCGGGACGCGCGCGCGTTCCCGGGAGATCGCGAGGACGTGGGCGGCGGCGTCGTAGGCGTTGAAGAAGTCCTTGAGCAGGTGGACGCACGACATGGACATGGCGCCGTAGTGGCACGCGGCGTAGATGAACGCGACGGCCGATTGCCGCATGTTGTTGTCGCCGATGCCGCCACCGCGTGACGCCGCGCCGCGGGTCACCGGTACTAGTAGCGATCCCCCGCGTCTCCGCGGAGGACTACCTCGGGGACAAGCTGGCCCCGGCGTTGTCGGCGGTCCGGTGCGAATGCGGCCGCTGCAAAGCGACGTTGTCGGTCAACATGCTCGTGCCGCCGCGGAACTGCGCGACGCGGCGCTACGCCTTCGAGGTCGCATCAAGAAGCGATCCCGGAGCGATCCCGGCGACCCCAGCGCGATCCCGGAGCGACCCCGGCGACCCGGAGCGACCCCGGCGATCCGGAGCACAGAGGCGCGGTCATGCATACCGGCGTCCTTGAGCTTCATCGAGCTTAAAATTTTAACTTGCAGTGGAGAATCGCTCTCTCACACAGCTATGGCAGCCTTCCGCCCCAAGCTCTCCCGCGCGCCGAGCATCTGGGCGGACACGGACGAGAACGTCGCCGGCCGGCTCAAGGATTACGCCGAGGCCGCGGGCCTCGACATCGCCGGCGGCACCGTGCGCCGGACGTCGAGCCGCTTCTGCCTCGGCGTCGAGCACGGCGACTACAACGGCACGGCGCTCTTCGGCGTGGGCACGGACCGCTACATCTGGGTCGCCTACAAGCCGAACGCGAGCGGCCGCTGCCGCCTCTACAGCGCCAACTTCGAGGCCGCGGGCGTCGTCGACTTCGCGTCCGGCGAGCAGCCGAAGCCGCCGCTCTCCCCCGACGCCGCGGCGTCGTGGGCGCGGTTCCCCCACGGCGTCGACGCCGTGCTCCGCGGCGCGGGGCTGTTTGCAACGTCCAAGGGCTTCGACGCCGTCGTCTGGGGCAACATCCCCGGCGGCGGCATGTCGCGGTCCGCGAGCCTCTGCCTCAACCTCATCGGCGTCTTCCTCGACGTCAACGGGGCCAAACCGCGGGAGACGGGCGGCCTCGCGGCGGCCGTCACGCTGGCCGTCGCCGTCGAGAACGACTACGTCGGCAGCCCCTGCGGCAACCTCGACCAGATCATGATCCACTACGCCAAGGCCGGCTTCGGAACGTACTACGACCCCGCGACCGACGCGATCGACTACGTGCCCCTCGGCGAGGACCACGAGGACTACGCCATCGTCGCGCTGGACACGGGCACGGACCGGCCGGGCCTCGACAAGTCGACCTACAAGGTGCGGCGCGCGCAGTGCGACGGCTTCGCGAAGGAGCTCTTCACCTCCAACTTTATCGCGACGCCGAAGCTCGGCGCCGTCAAGGACGACGCCGTCTACGACCAGGTGCGCGCGGCCTACGCGTCCGGCGCCTTCCAGCAGCACTTCAAATGCTTCGACTACATCTACCGGGCGCAGCGGCGCTTCGACGCGATGATGGACGCGTGGCGGCGGGGCGACGTCGCGACCGTCGGCGCCCTGTTCCGCGAGGACGGCCTGGGCCTCCGCGACGACTACGCCATCTCGGGGCCCGAGCTCGAGACCATGTGCGACATCGCGCGCACCGTCGACGGCGTCTACGGCGAGCGCATGCTCGGCGGCGGCGACAAGGGCGCCGCGGGCGCGATCGTCGCGGCGGCGGCCGTCGACGCGCTCGTCTCCGCGGTGCGCCGCGCCTACCCCAAGGCCCACCCGGCCTACAAGGACAAGTTCGCCACGCACGTCGTCCACCCCTGCGACGGCGTCGCCGTCCTCCCCGGGCTGCTCTAGTAGGCGCTCTTTTTAAGACGACGGCAAGTACGACGGCGCCCCCTTGTGGCTCCACAACGCCGGCGGCACGCCCTCGCTCTTTTTACGACGATGGCGTCTACTTGGTCCGCGTGTGGCTCTACATCATCAGGCCCGTGAACGTCGGCGGCGTGCCCTCGACGAACATGACGGACACGTCGGCGCCGCCGTCGCCGCGGATCTCCTTGGCCTTCTGGTACGACTCGGAGTAGTAGAACTCCTTGGCCTGGGCGATGCTCGCGAACTCGAGTAGGATCGCCGCGCTCCCTTCGGCGCCGCCGTTCGCGGTCTCGACGAGGTCGCCGGGGCCCTTGGCGAGGATCGTTCCTCCGTACTCTTCGATCGCCGTCTTCGCGGCGGCGCCGAACCTGCGGAGGAATAGATACAAGCGCCTGGAGACAGCGACGCGGTCGGCGGATATCGCGACGATAAGCCCCTGGAGGCGGCGAAGCGATCGGCGGATAACGCGCGCGGAAATAAACGGGTCGGCGCGGTCCGCGGATACGCGCGGTGATTGATTGAGTTCTGAAGTTTATGGCGCGATCGAACGACGGTATCGCGCGCCAATAGTGTTGACGCCGGCAGCGGACGCCCCGAACTTCTCCTTGTCCTTGACCTTGATGAAAGCGATCAAATATCCTTTCGGCGCCGATGCCGAAACTCCCATGATTGATTTGGTGACCTACAGCACACAGGCAGCGTCATCGTGGACCCACACGCGCACGTCGCGTTTGGAGCGCTTGAGACGCCGAGTCGCGGACGTCGGCGAGAAGAAGTTGCTGTTTCACGAGTGTTTCTCTGAGTCTAATTGAGACGATTTTGTGGCGATCGGCGATCAAAGAAGTGACCATCACTAGCACCAGTCGAAAGAAACCCAACTTAGTGCGCGAGGTCCGCCCAGTCGACCCAGGCCGAGTGGAGGCCGTAGGGCACGTCGTTGGGCAGGTCGAGCTCGCAGACCTCCGCCAGCGCGTCCCCGTCGAGGACGACGAGCTTCGAGTCGCGCGTTTCGCCGTCGTCGTGGACGTTCGTCACGAAGACGAGGACGTAGGCGCCGTCGCCCGGGCGGCCGCCGCGCTTCGGCACGACGGACGGCTCCGACACGACAAAGTAGCCCGCCGGCGCGACCCACTCCGCGGCGACGCAGTCGGCGTCGGACGTCGCGGCGTCGTCGTCGTGCAGGTCCGAGAGGTCGAACTTGACCACGGCGTCGATGAGGATGCCCTCCGCGGGCGGGCCGTAGCGATTCGGGCCGCCGATGGTCCGCGGGCGGATCGCGTAGGCGCAGGGCGCCGCGGACCCGACGCAGCGCGGGTCGATCGCCGGGAACTCCACGGGCACGCTCGACAGGTAGCGCTCCCGGACGCACGCGTCGCCGTCGACGACCCACTCGTACAGAAAGGCCTACCAAGCATGACGGTGACCATTTCTCATTGTTTCCCACCCAAAATCTCTCAAAAATCGTCACGGCCACGGGACGCCGAGAAAGGCAGGCGTATAGGCACCGATGAACGACGTCGGCGTGTCCGGGAGGGACCGCAGGGCCCGCAGCACGGTCGCGCCGTCGTCGTTTTCGTGCGCCGAGACCGTGTGCAACACGACGCCCGGTTCCACGTCGACCCAGCGAGTCTCGCCCGTCTCGCGGGACGTGAGGCCGAGCCGCGCGCCGAAGTCAGGCTCGTACTCCACGGGAAAGCGATCCAACAGCATCCGCGCCTACCGAGCGCGATGGTCCCCGGCCGACGTCTCTCGAAAAGTCGTCGGACGCCGACGCGCGCGGGCCGCACCGTCAGCGGCAGGTCGAGGATGATCACGTGCTTCCGAGAAATCGCCGAGTCGTGGAGCATGACCGGCGATCGCATGTCGACGCCGATCGTGCGCGTGATCTCGCCCGTGCGAGAGTCGAGGAAGTCGACGCGGCCGTAGGGCGGCGACGTGCTCGAATAGGTGACGCCGACGAGCTCCTCGGTGACGGGGTCGCCGTGGAAGTGGGCCGTCAGCGCGCCGCCGCTCAGCGGGTGGGGCCCGAACTCGATGCCGCCGCCGAGCGTCGACCCCGCCGCGAGCGTCTCGAGCGTGCCGTCCGACGAGATCCGGAACTCGCAGGGCTTGCACTGCTCCATCAGGCCCAGGCACCGCCCGTCGGCCAGCGCGACGAGCGCCGTGTTCGCCGTGTCCTTCTGCGGCTGGAGGGCGTTCGCGAAGTTCTTCGCGAGGTTGACGAGTAGCTTGAAGCCCTGCGGCGCGACGAGCGAGCCGTCGAAGAGCTTCCCGGGCCCCGCGGCCTCCTCCTTGGCGAAGGCCGCCGTGCGCAGCCAGGCGCGGCTGTAGGTCGCGCCCTCGTCGCCCAGCACGACGGCGTGGACCATGCCGTCGCCGTCGAGCCAGCCGCCGCCGCTGCCCCACGGCCGCGCGTTCGGCCCGTTGCGCAGGATCGCGCCGCGCAGGTCGCCCGGCACGGCGCCGCGCGCGACGGTCGCGGGCGCCGGCGCGAGCTGCTCGCGGTCGCAGCCGCGGAAGAGCTCCTCCGTCCGGAAGGCCGCCTTGGCGTCGTGGGCGCCGCGCAGGGACTGCTCGATGGCGCGGAGCTTCGGCGGGAGCGCCGGGCCGCCGAGCGCGGCGGCGGTGCGCGCGCAGAGCTGCAGAGTTACGAGCTGCACGAGCATCCGCGTCGGCGGCTGCCGAGCCCGCATGGGTCGCGGCGGTCTCACACTCTCTTCGAGGGTGCTTTGCACAGCATCGTTGCCCTCAAGAATCACGGCTGGGAAGACACGGCAGCCCCGAGGCAGTGGAAAAAGATGGTGGGTGGTTTATTCCACCGTTCGTAGGCGCCGCAGGAGACCATGGTGGCGGGTGGTTTAGCCCACCATCATGTCGCCGCGGAGGAGCCGAAGGCGGTGAAGCGCGCGAGCGCGTTCAAGATCGGCAAGCACGGCCGCACGTCGCGCACGGAGCCGAACGTCGGGTCGCTGCGGCCGGACCAGCAGGGCTTCATGCACCACTTCTCGAGCGAGGCGTCGGAGGTCACGAACCTCCTCGACGACAGCAAGATGGAGGAGCTGCGCAAGGCCGAGGCCAAGGCGTCGAAGCGGGCCATGGACTGGGCGCGCGCGGGCGCGCAGCGCGAGGGCTTCTCCGAGATCGCGTGGCGCGAGGGCCTCTACAACTTCCCCATCCCGCTCTGGTACCGCGCCGCCGCGATCTGGTGCCGCCACCTCCTGAGGACGGCGCTCTTCGAGGCGCTCATCAACGGGACGATCCTACTGCTGCAGTTCGTGCTCTTCGTGACCATCTGCATGGAGCCCGGCGGCGGCCGGCCGGACCAGCCCGCCCTCTACGCGGCGGGCAAGGCCGTGGACCACTTCGCCGCGCTCGTCTTCTTCTGCGAGATCGTCATCAGAGGCGTCGCGGAAGGGCCGCGGCCGCTCCACTTTTTTCTCGGGCCCGACCGGCTCGAGAACGTCTTCGACCTCGGCGTCGCCGTCGCGACGGTCGTCATCGTGCTGGAGGGCCACGGGGCGATGATCGTCGTCCAGATGCTGCGCATCCTGCGGCTCATGAAGTTCCTGAACAACTACAGCGCGACGCGGGTGATCGTGCGGGGCATGTACTCGGGCCTCCGCGCGACGGGCGCCATCATGACGCTCCTCTTCATGATCATGTACGTCTACGCGATCCTGGGCGTGCGCGCCTTCCGCCACAACGACCCCGTCCACTTTGGGACGGTGCAGCAGGCCATGCTCACGCTCTTCGTGATCTCGACGTTGAACGACTGGCAGACGATCTATCTCGTCAACTACCACGGCTGCGACAAGATGTACCAGCACGAGCACGACCCCACCCTGGCGGACTTCTACGGCAGCGACAGCGACCGCAAGTTCTCGACGAAGCTCGGCACGTTCTACAACGACCGCTGCGACCGGTCCGAGGCGTCGCCGGTGACGGCGCAGATCTATTTCTACTCCTTCACGATGCTCACGGCCTTTGTGGTCTTCTCCCTCTTCGTGTCCGTCATCGAGATGGGCATGTTCGAGACCATGGAGGAGCTCGAGGCGGAGGCGCGCGAGGCCGCCGCGGAGCTCGAGGACGCGCCCGAGTTTGGTCAGGACCACCCAAACCAGTGGTTGGTTTCGGCACAGGCCTCCGGGGCTCCATCGAGATGGCCCGGGCCTCCGTGTCGGACCAGGTCGGCTGCGACGACTCGACGGACCACGTGCAGCGCCACCGCGCGAAGCACCGGACCGCGGATTTCGCGTCGATCACCAAGGGCGCGGGGCTCCAGGTCGACGCGCTCGGCAGCGACGCGCCCGCGGACGCCGGCGGCGACGCGCGGGACACGCGGGACGCCATCGAGCTGTACCTCGACGGGCCGAGGAGCTTCGAGTTCCGGGCCGCGCTGCGGCGGCTCTACGAGGCGGACCCCGACATGCCCCTCGACGAGGGCGGCGGCGCGCGCTTCGTCATCGCCGTCAACGCCGTCTGCAGCAGCGCCGCGTTCCAGAACGCGGTGACCTTCGCGATCATCGTCGCCTGCGCGGTCCAGGGCGTCGACGCGAACCGCGTCGCGGAGGGCGGCGCGACGGGCGCGGCGATCTTCTACACGGAGATCGCGATCTGCGTCGTCTTCGTCGCGGAATGCGCGCTCAAGATCCTGAGCCACGGCGCGCGGCCCTGGCGCTACCTCTACAGTTCGTGGAACTGCTTCGACTTCGCCGTCGTCGCGTTCACGCTCGTCGCGTACCTGCCGGGCATGAGCGGCCTGCCCGCGATCTCCATGTTGCGGTTACTACGTTTGCTCAAACTCGTGCGGTCCTACCCGGCGCTCCACGTCGCCGTCCAGTCGCTGCTGCGCGCCTTCAAGCAGGTCGTCTACGTCGGCGTCGTCATGGCGCTGATCAACTTCAACCTCGCCGTCGTCGGCATGCACCTCTTCCGCGGCAACGACCCGGGCCGCTTCGGCACGCTCGCGGCGGCGATGGTGTCCATCTGGGGCGTGTCGACGCTCGACGCCTGGGACGCGGCGCTCTACACGAACATGTACGGCTGCGAGCGCTACGGCTACCCCCACGGCGGCCGGGCCTGCAACGACGCGACGGCCTACGGCTGGATCGCCGTCGGCTACTTTGTGTTCATCGTCATCATCGGAGGCCTCGTGCTCCCGACGGTGCTCATCGGCATCATCTCCATCGCCTTCGAGGAGTCGACGGAGGAGATGCGCCTCGAGAGCCTGGCGAACGGCGTCATCGACTCCATGAAGGCGCGGGTGCTCGACTGGGACGCGGGGCCGCGGATCCTCTCGGAGATGAAGCACCTCGAGGCGGGCTACCGCGCGCTCGCCGCGGAGCAGTCGCGGGCGCTCGGCTTCGGCGGCGACGACGAGGAGACGGTCGCGGCGAGCGGGCTCGACGAGGAGGTGATCCTGGCGCTCTGCCGGTTCGTGTTGGACCACCACACGCACTGGCTCGACGAGAAGACGCTGACGATGATGGTCCACGCGCTCGACGAGCAGCACGACAAGCGGTACAAGCTGCCCCAGCTGCTCTGGATCCTCTTTTTCACGGCGAAGCTCCAGATCGACGCCGAGGAGGGCGCGCTGCTCGAGACGAGCCGCCAGTCCCACGGCTCCAAGCTCGACGTGTCGGCGCTCTCGGGCCTCGACGACGAGACCGAGGACTCCAAGTGCTCCATGCTCGACGACGTCGTCGCGGGCTTCATGCCCGGCATGTCGAAGCTGCCGTCCCTGCCGCCGTCGCCGACGCTGCCGTCCATGCCGCCCTCGCCGACGCTGCCGTTCGCGCTGCCGTCCCTCCCCGAGGACGCCGTCCCCGCGGCGTTCCGGCTACCGGAGGACCTCGAGGTCGACGCGCCGCCGCAGCGCACGCACGCGGTCCTCGACGAGGCGAGGAGGCTCGGCTCCTTCTTCCAGATGCTCCTCCGAGCCCGACGCGCGGCCGCTGTCGCCGTCGCTCTTCTCCGGCGTGCCCACGGAGCTCCCCCCGAAGATGTCCGCGACCATCTGACCCCGCGCGCCGCCGTCTAAGTGAATGTAGGAACGGGCGCTACCAGGGCACGGCCATGTTGAAGTCGCAGTGGTTGAGGTCCATGGAGCAGAGCATGCACTCCGGCAGCTCCGACTCCGCGCGGCCCTCGAGGACGAAGCCGACGGAGAGGATGAAGTCCTGAAAATCGCGGAAGATGGACTGGAGGCCGCTGCGGGCCATGTAGCCGAAGGCGTGGATGTTGATGTCCATGTTGTGGTACGCGTTGTCCGGCCCCTTGGTGAGGCAGCCCGTCTTGTTGATGAGCGCGGGCTTGCCGTTGTAGCCCTTGGCGAAGGACGGGATGTTGACCTCGTCGATGTTGCGGATCTGCGCGAGGACCTTGAAGCGGCCGCGCTCCTTCGCGTCGAGCTGGCCCTCCGTCGGCGCGACGCGGCAGTACATCTTCAGGAGCTCGAGCGCCGCGCGGCGCTCCGGCGCCACGGCGCGCGCCCCGTCCGCCGGCGGCGCGGCCAGCGCCTCCAGGTCCGCGCACGTCTCCTCCGTGAGCTGCATGCAGATGACCATCTGGTAGCCGTGGCCGTCGGCGTCGACGCGCACGCGCATGGGCCCCGTCTCCGACGGGATCATCGCGTTGACGACGTAGAGCGCGGGCACGTCGGCGTCGGGCGACGGCCGCGCGGGCGCCGGCAGCTCGAGCCGCTCGGCCATGCGGCCGACGCGCGCCTCCGTGTCGAAGAGGTCCACGGCGACGACCTCGTAGAAGGCCTCGACGGACGGCGCCTTGCGCTTCGACTTGGCGTAGCCGAGCTGGCGGATCTTGAACGTCGCGCCGGGCGCGGGCGACCAGGTCCCGCAGGGCACGTCGCCGTCGGGGCTGAAGGGCACGCCCTCGAGGCCGGATCCGCCCGCGTGGAGCTTCCCCGCGCGCGCCTCGGCCTTGGCCGGCGACGGCGACGCCGCATCGAGGCTCCGGAACGACGGCAGCGCCGCGGGCGGGATGATGAGCGACACCAGAGTCTCCGACGGCGCCTCGTCGTGCTTCCGGACGAGCACCAAGGTCGCGTAGACGTTGAGGAGCGCGAGCGCGCCGAGCGACGCGAAGATGACGCCGCCGCGGCTCACGATGGCGCAGGCCTCGACGACGAACATGATGCCCAGCACGCCGAGCGTCGACACGGGCGACGACGACAGCCGCGGCCGCGGGCCCCGCCGGCCCGCGCGGTCGAACGCCGCGCGGCGGTCCGCGAGCGCGCGCCGCGTCTCGCCCTCGGCGCCCTCGGGCGCGGCGGCCGGCGCCGCGGCCTCCTCCTCCTTGGGCGCCGCGCGGCAGAAGGGCTCGAGCTTTTCGCGCCACGTCGCGAGGTCGTCGGCCGACTCGGCGCAGAGCTTCCACCGCTGGCCCTGCGCGTGGCTCAGGATGAGCACGCTCCGCGTCGGCGCGTCCTCGATGCTCTCCGTCGTCGTCAGCGCCGCGCGGCTCTGGACGAGGTTGAGGCTGCCGCGGCACTTCTCCAGGGCCGCGCTCTCGAAGTAGCTCAGCACGCCCTCGGACGACAGGGCGAAGGTGCGCGGCTGCCAGGGCTGCTTGCTGTGGCGCCCGAGGCCGCCGCGCTTCTTGTAGAGGGGGCCCGACACCAGGTAGGTCACGGGCGGCTTCGTCGACGACATGGCGGGCGGCGGCGGCGGTATCGGCGCGGCGCCGCGTCTCCTCACCTCGCGCGATCGGCTCCACACTAAGTCTTGTGGACAAGACGCCTACGGCTTACTTGCCCAGGGCTGCCGGGGGGGCTTGCCTGCGGCGCGGCGAGAGCGCGCCCTTCGGGCGCGCTCGCGCGTGCTGAGCCACTCATTCCCGTGTCAATGCTTCCCTCTGCACCGCTTGCGCGACGACAGCCATTTAATTTTCGTACGGCGGGGGAACCAAACACGCACAACTCACGCATATATATATGGACAGTTTTTCACCACAGCGGCTTCATCATCTGTGTGACTTTTTCTTGAAGGCTTTCAAAGTTTCAGAAGGCCCGCGCGCGCCCCCTCCTGCCTGTTGTAACCCCCCCACTTGTGCGCGCGTGTTACGCCGCGCTCGCGCCGCCGTTGTGGGGCTGGATCTGGCCGCCGGGGCAGGCGGGCCAGGTGGACAGCTTGTCGTAGACGTAGGGCATGCGCACGTCCCAGGGCGCGATGAGCTCGTAGAACTCCTCGTTCGTGTAGGTGGCCCTCGCGCCCTCGACGTCCGGCGGCACGGGCCACTCGAAGGGGAGCACGTCTTTGGCGTGGTGGCCGTCGCAGGTCGTCGGCGACGTGCAGTTGGGCATCTCCTCGCCCGAGACGCCCTGCCAGTCGCAGACGAGCTCCGTGTCCGACAGCACGCCCTTGGAGTGGACGTAGCCCCAGGTCTCGTTCATGACGAAGGTGCCGTTGCGGTGCCACGTGCGCAGGAGCTGGAGGTAGCGCTCCGCGAGGCCGTGGAGCGGCCAGAAGAGCGGGTCCTGCGGCGCGGCCGACGTGAACATCTCGCCCGCGTGGCCCACGTGGCAGAGCACGTCCGCGACGTTCTCGAAGCCGCGGAGCGCGTCCTCGGACTTTTGCAGGATGTTCGTCCCGACGACGGCGGCGAAGCCCGTGTCCACGAGGAACTGGGACGCGGACGCCGGCGACCCGTCGGGCCCCGCCGCGCGCCGGCCGCACGCGCACGTGCAGTTCTCCGCGGCGAGCCCCGCGCAGTCCTCGGGGCAGTCGACGTAGCCCGACCGCCAGAGGAACTTGGACCCCAGCAACATCTGGTCCGACCGCCAGCCGAGGGCCTTGTAGTGCTTCGACGAGTTCGTCAGCAGCGGGTCGAAGCCCCAGTGGCCCCCGAGCATGATGTGCACGGAGCCGTGGAGCGCGCTGTTCAGCGCGCTGAAGAGGCGCCCGATGGTCTGGGCGCCCTCGATGGTCTCGGCCTGGAAGTCCGCGCAGAGCGGCAGGTGGTTCTGGCCGTGGACGACGCCGAGCACGCGGTCGTAGCGCGCCACGTAGGGCACCGGGTTCGTGTTCCAGGGGCTCCGCAGCAGGCCGTAGGGGTTCGTGATGTTGCTGTAGGACCGCGCCGCCGTCATGAGCGGCGTGTAGGCCCAGCGGCCCGACGCGACGACGTGGTCCGAGTTCTCCGGGTTCGTCGACCCGAACCTGGGCAGGACGAGGGTGATTCAAGTTCTCTTCAACGTGAGTGTTCCGCGCGCGCGCGTTCCGGAAAAAGCATCCACGCTTCGAGAGCGTTCCGAGAGATGATCGCTCGTCCAAAAATCAGCCGAAACGAGTGGAAAACGGCCGAGATATGAGCCTTTGAAGTTGGGAATTTCGCTCTCTTGTCCTGCCCTGACCCGAACCAGCCCTCCCCGAAGATGGACCCGTTGTAGGCCGCCGCGTAGGACTCGCCCGTCGCCTGGGCCCGCGCCGCGTCGAGCGTGTAGTCCCAGTAGTGGCTCGCGACCGTCGCGTCGACGGCCTGGAGCGACCGCTCGAGGAGCATCGTCACGCCGACGTGGTGCGTGAGGAAGCCCGCGTCGTCGTGCCAGTGGTCGCAGTCGCGCTGCGCCGCGCCGTACAGGTGCTCCCGCACGAACCAGTGGGCGCTCCGGAAGTCGGACCCGTAGAGGCGCGCGCCGTCGGCGTCGGAAGTCGCGTAGACCGCGTGGAGCGCGCCGAAGTAGCGCTCCCGGTCGCCCGCGCTGAGGTCCCGGAGCTCGCGGCGCACGTACTTGGCCGTGACGCCGAAGGAGCCGAGCAGAAAGCCGTCGGACGCCGTCGCCGTCACGGCGTGGGTTCCGGCTTCGACGAACTTTACGGTGAGCACCGCGCCGCCGGGCGCCGCGCCCTCGCTGCCGTCCGTGCCGCCGACGGTCCACAGGACGTCGTCGCCGTCGTAGTCGATAAGGCGCAGCGTCGTCGTCCGGTGGAGCTCGACGAGGTGCTCGTAGTCGTAGAGGCCGTCGCCGATGGGCACGCCCAGGCGGTCCTCGTACTCGCTCCTCGCCTTGAGCGTGTGGCCCCCGCGTCTCCGCGACGCGACGGCGAGGCTCGACGGCGCCGCCGGCGGGCGCGCCGTGCGCAGCGCGGCGAGCAGCGCGAAGAGCGCCAGGGCGCCGGCGGCCGGCAGCCACGACCCGCCGCCGCCGCCGACCATCGTGTGTAAGCCAAAAAACAAAGATGTTGCCGTTATGGGGCAGCCGTGCCGCTCGACAAAGCAGCGGGGCAGCCCTCGACCCGTTGCGGCCGGCGCAGGAATCCACGCGGCGGCCCGCCCATGGTGTCGCTCGTGTCGTCGCTCGGCGACCTCGACGCCAAGCTGCCCGCGGGCGAGCTCGACGGCTTCGAGCTCCTGGAGACTCTGGGCAGCGGGGCCTACGGCACGGTCTACAGATGCCGGTGCCTCCGGTCCGTCGGCGGCGCGCTGCGGGACGGCATCTACGCGGCGAAGCGCATCGCCAAGGACAACGCCGCCGCCCACCGGAGCGGGATCAACGAGCTCGACATCGACGCCCGGCTGCGGCCGCGGCCCGGGGCGCCGCCGGCGCGCGACCGCTTCTGCGCCGCGGTCCACAGCGCGGACGCGGGCGCGGCCCTGTGGATCGTCTTCGAGTGCGGCGGCCGGGCGCTGTCGAACCTGATCTGGACGTCCGTCGACGGCGAGTGGACGCGGACCCACGGCGCCGCGGAGCGGACGTACGTCGTCCGCCGGGGCGAAGCGTGGCACGCGCTGCTCGACGACGGCTTCGCCCTGCTCCGGGAGCTGCTCGTCCAGCTCGTCGACGCGACGCGGCGCGTCTCCGCGGCGAACGTCGTCCACGGGGACGTGAAGCCGGACAACGTGCTGGTGGACTTCACGCCCGCGGGCCTCGACGTGCGGCTCGTCGACTTCGGTTCCGCGTTCGCGTTGGACCCGGAGGCGAAACCGACGCGCGTGTCGTCGGCGACGCCCGAGTACCTCGCGCCCGAGTGCGTGCTGGGCGACGCGGCCGCGCTGCGGAAGGCGCCCTGCTCGGCGGTCGACATGTTCGCCGTGGGCATGATCTTCTTCGAGATCGCCTGCGGCTTCCCGCTCTGGTTCCCCTACAACTCGCGCGTCGCGGACCCGGAGGACCGCGGCCCCGCGCCGCGGCGCAAGGGCTGGACGCGCGGCGCCGTCGCCGTGCCGCACCGCGAGGGCGCCAAGATCGCGCGGCGCCAGATCGACATCGCCAAGGACATCCCCGGGGCGCTGAAGAAGATGCCGGGCAAGGGCGTCTCCCGCGACAAGGACGCCATGGACCTCCTCGGCCGCATGCTCTGCGTCAACGCGCACCGCCGCATCAGCCCGGCCGACGCGCTCGCCCACCCGTTCCTCGCGGGCCACGCCCCGTGACCGCCCAACGATCGACCCCGCGCTCGCCTCGACCGCCGCCCGCGCTAACGACCGTCGTCCGAGAAAATATTAGGGTCCGGGCCGGCGTCTTCAGTGCGCGTCCCAGGGGTGGATGATGCCCAGGACCCAGGCGCCGTCCTGCTTGGCGCGGTACATCATCCAGAGCCACATGACCGTGCAGTAGGCGATGGCCGGGTACTCGTGCCACTTGGAGACGTGGAAGTGGCCGTGGTAGGGGCCGTGCTTGTCGTCGTACGGACCTGCGGCGGGAGCGCGCGTCGCGCGGGGGGCGCCCGGGGCGTCGCGTCGCGCGGTGGTGGGGCCCGGGAAGCCTCCGGGGGCGCGCGCGGCGACCCCCGCGCATAGGTGGACGCCGGGGCGCACGTCCGCCGCCGCCGCCGCCCATCCGTCGTTTGGGGAGCGCCAGGGTCGTCGGCGGCGCGCGGGGCGCCGCGGCGACGCGCGTCGCGTTCCACGCCGGCACGGCGGCGCGGCGCAGGGCGTTCATGGCGACGAAGGACATACTCGGAGGCTTGTCGGCTCGCGCGTGGCTCGATTTCACGTCCCACCTCGCAGTCCTCGGACAAAAGTTCACTTTGGGTCGACGGTGCACGTCGACGGTGCACTTGAGCAAAAGAATGATGGAGGCTCTGCCACCCGATGGCGGGCTGCCCGCAGCCAAGCTCCCGTGGTACGAGCGCGACGCGTGCATGCGCATCGACGGCGACACGGCGACGGTCTACTGCGGCACCACGTCGATCACGCAGTCCATCGCGGCACTCGACGCGGCGCCGACGTCCGGCGCCGCCGCCGTCGCCGCGGAGCTCGCCGCGGCCCGGCTCGCGCCGCGGCGGCACAAGCACGCGCGCGCCGCGCGGGACGCCGCGATCCCCGCCGCCGGCCCGGCGCCCGGCGCGTTCCGCCGGAGCCGGGGCGCGGACGCGGCCTGCTGGGACGCGGCGGTCGCGGGGCCTCCCGACGCGTTCCTCGCGGACTGCGCGGCGCTCCACGGCGCGCTGCGGCGGTCCGCGGCCTACCGGTCCTTCTGGGTCGGGTCCCAGGACGCGCCGCGCTGCGCCGCGGAGGCCTTCGCGCAGGGCGTCGCGGCGTTCCACGGCGCGGGCGACCAGGGCGGCGCCGAGCTCTGGGTCCAGCTCCGCGGCGACGAGGCGCTGCCGTTCCACTGGGACACGGACCAGCGGCTCCGCGAGGAGACGGGCGCCTGGCGCCACCCGGACGTGTCTACGGTGACCTACGGGACCGGCGCCGGCGCGCCGACGGTCGTGCTCCCCGGCGCCTACGACGGCGCGAACGTCGTCGCCGTCGACGACGCCGTCGAGCGGGGCCGCGCCTTCGCCTGCGGCTTCTCGCGGGCCATCGCGGCCTACCCGGCGCCGGGGAGGCACGTGGCCTTCGACGGCGCGCTGCTCCACGGCGTGCCGCCGTGTCGGGGCGGCGACGTCCGCGCGACGCTCGTCGTCAACGTCTGGCGCGCGTCGCGGCCGCGCGGCGTGCCCCACGCGCCGGGCGACGCGGCGCGCGCCCTCGCGGCCGTCGGCGCCTACGCCTTCGACCCGCACCTCCTGGCGGCCGCGGCGCTCGGCTTCGCCGACGCCTACGCGGCGCGCCCGTCCCCCGCGGACGTCGACGGCGGCGAGCGCCACTCGGCGCCGCTCCACGACCGCGGCGACGCGGCGGCGCTCGTCGCGCACTTCTTGCTGCCGGCGGCCGCCGCGCCGGCGACGTTCGCGTCGCTCCGCTTCGGCGACGGCCGCCCCGCGGGCGTGCTCCGCGTCCCGCGGTCGTCGGACGACACGCGGTACCGCGTCTTCGCCGCCGACGGCGCGGCGGCGGCGCCGCCCGTCGCCGCGCCGTCGTCGAGCTCCGAGGACGAGTCCGAGTCCGCGTCCGACGACTCCGAGGACCCGCGGCCCCGGTCGCCGTCCGCGGACGACACGGAGGACCCGCGGCCCCGGTCGCCCCGCCGCCGGCCCATCCGCGAGCCCGCGCCCGTCCCGCGCCGGAGGGACATCCGCCGGCCGGCCCGCGGGCCCGTGAGGTAACGTTTGAAGCGAAACAATTCAATGCAAGAATGACTCGCGCACCCGGGTCCCGCTGAATCCCGCGATGATGGCATCCAGCCCGACGAGGCGGCGATGCGCGCTGCCCACATTCCAGGGCTGGGCCATGCTCGGTTACTCCGCCGTCGGCGCCCTGTCGGCGTCGAGCGGCCACTCGTTCATGATCGGGGTCTACATCGAACCGATCATGGCGGATCTGTCCCTGTCGCGGAGCACGGTGTCGGCGCTGTGGTCCCTCGTGCTCACGCTGTCCAGCGTGTACGTGAACGTCATCGGCCGCGTCGTCGACGCGCGCGGCGCGCCCTTCGTCGCGCGCGTCGCCGCGCTGCCCTACGCGGCGGCCGTCGCGAGCCTGTCGCTCGCGCGAGGCCCGGCGTCGCTCGCGTTGAGCTTCACGCTGATCCGCTGCCTGGGGCCGGAGACGCTGGATTTCTGCTTCCGCAACACGGTGTTCCAGTGGTGGAACCGGAAGCGCGGCCGCGCGACGGCGATCCTCAACGCGGCGGGCGCGACGATGATGCTGCTGCCCGCCGCGCTCGCGGCCGTCGTCCGGAGGCTCGGCTGGCGCGCCGCCGCGCGGGTCTGGGGCTGCGGCGCGGGTCTGGCGGCGGCGGCGGCGGCGGCGAAGCTCGTGCGGCGGCCGGAGGACGTCGGCCAGTTGCCCGACGGCGACGCGCCCGCGGCGGACGCGCGGGCGTCGGAGTCGCTGCTCGAGGGCGGCGGCGACGAGGCCATCGCGGGCGCGACGCTCGGCGAGGCCCTGCGGACCCGGTCCTACTGGATGCTCCAGCTCTACAGCGTCTTCGGCTGCCTGCCCTGGCAGGGGCTGAATTTCCACATGGCGGCCGTCGTCGCCGAGCGGGGCTTCGACGACTCGGATCTCGCGCTCGTCTACACGCCGCTGGCGATCTCGAGCGGGTTGGGGTCCGTCGCCGGCGGCCTCCTGTTGGACGCGCTCAACAAGCGCGGCGCCTACCCGCTCTTCGCGCTGCTGCTGCCGCTGCTGGCGATCATCGCGACGCTCGTCCTGCACTTCCACCTCGAATCGCGGGGCGGGTCTCGTGCCCTTCGGGTCGCTGCTCGGCATGTTTCGGGGGTCGAATGTCACCGTGATGACGACCATGCCCGCGACGCTCTTCGGCCGGAAGCACCTCGGGTCGATCGCCGCGTCGATGTACATCTCGGGGCAGCTCACGTCGGCGGCGGGCTCCGGCGTCTTCGGCGCGGCCAAGGACGCCGCGGGCGCCTTCGGGCCCCTCTTCCAGTTCCTCATCGCCTGCCTCACGTTCCAGGCCGCCCTGCTCGCCGCCGAGGGGGGCGTCCAGCACCATCGCAAGGCGGACCCGCCGCGGAAGTAGCCTTAGGGGGCGTTCCGCTGCGACGGCGACGCGGTGAACGCGGGCGAGCCCGTCGTCGGGTCGACCTTCGACCGGTGCTCTCGCGCCGCGGTCGCCCACCACTCGAGCTGCGCGACGCCGCGGTCCGCATACTGGGCCCAGCGGTCCGCGTCCTCGCGCGGAGCGCCGTCCTCGTCGAAGGCCTCGCCCGCCTTGGGCACGTGGATCATCGCGGAAACTGGCAGCGCGCCGAGCTCCGAGAGGATCGGCCGAAGCGCGTTGGCGGCGCGAACGCCGCCCCACTGGCCCGCCGAGTAGGACACGATGAGCGACGGCTTGAAGGAGAAGAGCGACGAGCCGAAGTGGTTGAGCACGTGGAGCAGCGCCGGCGACGGCGCGTGATTGTACTCGGGCGTGCAAGCCACCAGCGCGTCGCAGGCCGCGAAGGTCTCCGCGAGCGCCTGGAGCGGCGCGGGCGGGTCCCTGTAGGTGAAGTGTGGCTGGAAGGGCGTGAGCGGCAGATCCACGACCGCGGGATCGACGACGTCGACGGCGTGGCCCTTGCGCGCGATGGCCTCCTCGACGTACTTGCCAACTCTTCGGCCGAGCAACGGCCGCGGCGGACCGTCGCGGGTGCTGCCGAGGAGCAGCGCGACCCGCAGCGGGCGCATCTCGAGGCGCTTGACGACGCGGAGCAGTGCGTTCTTCTCGTTGAGCGCGGTGCGATGGGCAGTGGCAACTCGATCACATCGGAAGGCGAGGCACCGTTGACATCGATTTGTATTGCCGTGGTATTGACGCCAGCGCCCGCACGTTGGACGCTGGTGCAGGGGCAGCCCCTCGCCGCGACGGATGGAGAAGGCCCTGGCCGCTGCGGCGCGCGAGGGCGACCTCGACGAGGTCAAGGCCATCCTGCGGAGCGTGCGCCACACCGTCGACGCGGCGGTCACCTGGGAGCGCACGCCGCTCTGGCTCGCGGCGTCGCGCGGCCACGCGGCGGTCTGCGAGGTGTTGCTGCGCCACGGCGCCCGGGCGAGCGCGGCGGCGGCCTGCGGGACGACGCCGCTGGAGGCGGCGGCGCGCGGCGGCCACGCGCGGGCCGTCGCCGCGCTGCTCGGCGGCGGCGCCGCGGCGACGGCGCGAGCGCTCGAGCTCGCGGCGCGCCGCGACGCGGGCGACGTCGCCGAGGCGCTCGTCGGCGCCGGCGCGCCCGTGTCCGCGCGGGCGCTCGTCCGCGCGAGGGGCGCGTCGTTCCGCGCCGTCCTCGCCGCCGCGGGCGACGGCGCGCTCGTCGCCGCGCTCCGAAACGGCGGCTGCCGCGCGCGCCTCGCCGCGTTCGCGGCCGCGCGCTTCCGCGAGCGCCTCGAGGGCGCGGCCATGGCCCGCGCGGAGCTCGACGCCCTGGCCGCGGAGCCCGAGGCGCGCGAGGCCGCGCGCCTCGACGGCTTCTCGCTGCTCGCCGTCGACGCGCGGGCCCGCGCGGACGCCGACGACCTCAAGGCGGCGCCGGAGCCCGCGAAGGCCGTCGCGCGCGCCCTCCTCGCGCGCCACGCGGCCGAGGGCGTCCCCGCGGCCGAGCTCTGGGACGTGCTCGCGGCCGTGGGGGACATAGCGAGGACTTCGAAAAACGGCGCGTGCTCGCGGGCCGACGTCGAGTCGCTCGCGTTCGGGGGCCGAGATTCCTCGAGCGCCGTCGAGGCGCTCCTCGCCGTCGACGAGGAGGAGTCGCCCTTCGAACTGCGGCGCCGCGTCGACGCGCTCCTCGACGGCGCCGCGCGATCGGCCGGCGAGACCGAGGACCTCGCGCGGAAGCTCGCGGTCGTCCGGCGCCGCGCGACCTTCCGGCCCTCGAACCGCGGCGAGCTGCTGCTCCGGGCCGTCGTCGCCTGCTTCCGCGGCGACGCGTCGGGACGCCACGTGCTCAGCGGCGGGGTGGTCGTCTTCGCGACGCGCGAGGACCAGGTCGACGCGCTCGTCGCGCTCGACGCGTGGCGGCGGCTCCCGAACCCGAGGCCGCCGGCCTGGGCCGGCCCGGCGCGGCCCCCGACGCGCGATGCCTGGCGCCCCGGCGGCGGCCGGCCGCTGGGAACGGCGAAGACGTACCACGAGGGCGGCCGCGATCCGCGCCGCATCCACGACCACTCGCCGATGCCGTCCGCGCGCCAGTTCTTCCCCGCCTGGCGCGCCTTCCACGACGCGCCGCGGCGCGCGCCCCGCGCGTCCAAGCCGCCGCGGCCGCCCGCGGCGCTCGTCGAGTCGGGGCTGCGCTACGACGTCGACGACGCGCGCGACGACGGCTACGGCGCCGTCACGCTCCGCGTCGTGCTCCGCCACCACGCGCGCGACGGCCTGGCGCCGCCCATCTGCGAGCTCCGCCTCGAGGGGCCCGAGGCGCGAGCGATCCTAGTTGAGGGGTAAAAAGGACGGCATCATCGGTTCTGCGCGCGCGGGTGTTGATGCATCGGTGACACCGGCGGTGTTGATGCAGTGATCATGCACTGCATCGGCGAGCGCGGGCGCTGGCCGATGTGTCTTGATTGTCACACGTAGCGCAACCAGCGTGCATCACGCGAGCGCAACCAACGCGCAAAGAATGCCTCGTCACTCCTTCTCGAAGCGCTTCATGCCGGCGCCGAAGAACGTGGCGGCCTTCCTCGTGGCCGTGCTGGCGATGCTCGCCTGCGTCGTGTCCGACATCGCGCGGCGCGCGCCGACGCCGCGCCGCGGCAAGGCCATCGGCGTCGTCGACTACAAGGTCGACGCGGCCTGGCTGCGGGACCGCGGCGACGCCGCGAGCGCGAAGCTCGCGGAGGCCTTCGTGCAGTCGAAGCGCGACGTGACGCTCGAGGCGTTCCTCGCCGAGAGCCGGCGGGCCGGCGCGACGCGCGTCGGGCGCATCGCGCTCTACGCCGTCGACCACTACCTCTTCTGGGCCCTGCAGCGCTACCTCGGCTGGAGTCGGCCCGACGCGTCCGGGTTCCTCCGGAAGGCGTCGCTCTACGTCGCGTCGGAGGCGCAGTTCGCCAGGATCGCCGGCGCCGGCGCGCCGGCGCTCCTCGACGTCGGCTCCGGCACGGGCACGGAGACGGCGAAGCTCGCGCGGGCTTTAGGCGCGTCGCGCGTCGTCGCCGTCGAGACGTCCGCGCCGATGCGGCGCCAGCTCGAGGCGCGCGGCTTCGAGGCGGCGGCGGCGATCCCCGCGGGCGTCTTCGGCGCGGCGGCGCTGCTCAACGTCCTCGACCGCTGCGACGACCCCGGCGGCCTGCTCGACGCCGCCGCCGCCGCCGCGCCCGGCGGGCTCTTGCTCGTCGCGACGGTGCTCCCCTTCAAGGGCTTCGTCCACGAGGGCAAGCGGTGGAGCGCCTGGGGCAAGGCGAGCACGCGGTCGCCGAGGAAACCGCTCAAGGTCGCGGACCAGGTGCACGTGAAGCCCGAGGGCCGCATGATCGACCTCCAGAGCAAGGCGCCGGCCGCGAAGAAGTTCGAGGCGGGCGCCGCGGCGTTCGTCGACGCGCTCGTCGACCGGCGGCCGGACCTCGAGCTCCAGTCGTGGACGCGGCTGCCCTACGTGTCCTCCGGCGACTCGAAGAAGAGCCACTACACGCTCGACGTCGCCCTCATGGCCTTCCGCGTCGGAACGGCGTTCGAGGCGGTCCTCGCGGGCGGCGCGGCGCCGGCGGCGACGTCGGCCGCGGCCGCGGCCCCGGACGTCGCGCTCGACGACGCGCCGCCGGCGGCCTGCGAGGGCAAGGGCGGCGACAAGATCTTCAACTGGCTCGCGAAGCGCGCGCGCGGCGGCGGCGGCCTCTTCGGCACGCGCGCGGAGTCGTGGGGCGACGTCCTCGACGCCGGCGCGGGGCTCAGCAGCACGTGCTGGCTCGCGCGCATGCCCTGTTCGACGCTCACGGCCGTGACGGCGCGCGCCGCGGGCACGGATGCCTACGGCGACCGGCTGCGCGACGCGTTCGCCGGCGCGGCCGTCGACGTCGTCGTGGGCAACTGGCGCGAGGCCGGCTTCCTCGCGGGCGAGCGGTACGACGTCGTCGTCGCGGACTATTTGCTCGGCGCCGTCGAGCTGCACTGGCCCCACGGCGCCGACGCCGTGCTCGCGCGCCTCCTCGGCGCGCTCAAGCCCGGCGGGACGCTCCTCTTCGTCGGCGTCGAGCCCTACGAGTCGCTCCTCGACCGCGCCGACGACGCGGATCGCCTCGTGCTCGACGTCGAGTCGCTCGGCGACAGCGCCGCGGCGCTCGCGGGCGAGGCGACGTACCGCGAGGTGCCCGAGGCGTGGATCACGCGCCAGGTCGACGCGCGCGACGGCTACGCCGTCGTCGCGAGCGAGACCTTCCCCATGACGCTCAGCGCGGCCTCGCTGCGGAAGCAGGTCACCTACGCGCGGACGACGTCCGCGAAGATCGCCGACGCGGGCCTCCGGAAGGCCTACGAGCGGCGCGTCGCCGAGCTCACCATCGAGGTCAACGCGTGGAAGGGCACGCACCGCAAGGGGCGCAACTACGCGCTCGTCGTGAAGCGGTCCTAAGGAAGAAGACTCTCGGAAGCAGGGGGAGACTCGGGGTCCGACTCGTCAACGAGGGCTGTCGATGGCGTCGGCCAGTGTGTAGCGCCTCGGCCTGCGGTGAAAATGGACAAGGGCCGCGCCCGGGCCGGTCGCCCTCGGACAGGCTCGGTTCGAGCATCGAGCGGCGACTCACTGCAGTACTGGCGAGACCTGATCGAGTGGACGCGCGGGCGATGAGCGGAGATATGAATTGGAGGGACAAGAAGCGCGAGTATGAAGAGAGGATGGCCCGAGTGAAGAACGCCAAGCTCCGTACGCTTTGCACAATTTGCTCGGCGAAAGCGAAGCTTTTATGCCCCTGTGGAACGACTCAATATTGCTCGGTAGCGTGCCAAAAGGTCGACTGGCGCGAGCGGGGCCACCGCACGGCGTGTAAGAAGATCCGTGACGACCGGGCCGCGGAGGCGGCGCGGGCGGAGGCGCCGACGCCCCCGCCGCCGCCGCCGCGGGAGGTCTTCTACGGCCCCGCGCCGCGGTCGCACGCCGACGAGATCCGCGCGCGCATCGCCGCCGAGCACGAGGCCGCGCGTCTGCGGCGCGAGGCGAACCCGGAGCCGGAACCGATATCGGCGCGGTACGGATCGCGGTGCCCAGTCTGCTTGGAGAAGTGGGACGTGAATGAGCGGTTCGTGTTTCAAGCCTGTTGCGCGCGGCTGGTCTGCGAGTCTTGTGAGGAAAGAAACGGTGAGGCGCCGTGTACTCTCTGTCGGGCGCCGTATCCGAAGTCGCATGCTGAAATGCTGGCCCAGACTCGTCGCCACGTGGAAAACGACGTGCCTGAGGCGATCACGCATTTGGCGCATGCGTACCGAACGGGTGACCTCGGCCTCCCTCAAAATTTCAAGAAGACCGTGAAAATCTACAAGCGCGCTATTGAGCTCGGAGACGGGGAGGCCATGACCGCGCTTGGCTATATGTACCAGCACGGCAGAGGCGTCAAGTTGGACCCGAAGAAGGCGGAAACGCTGTATCGCAAGGGCGCGGCAAGGGGGCACTTCGCGTCTCAGTACAACCTTGGACGACTGGAAAGGGACGCCGGAAACATCGAAGAAGCGCGGCGATGGTATGCCCTCTCGGCTGCCCAAGGACTTACTGACGCCAAATCCGCGCTCGCGCGGCTCGACGCCGCGGCCGGTGACTCGTAAATCTGCCTCTTAACCCTCAGTAGCCCGCGCCATCGTCGAGCGCGTCCAGCGCCGTCTCGAGCGCGCCGTCGTGGAGGAGCTCCGCGTCGCGCTCCGGCAGGTTGCAGGGCACGGACGCGTGCGCGTAGACCTGGGCGAGCGCGGACGCGATCGCCGGGTCCCGCGCGAGGCTCAGCGCCTCGGCGAGGGCGCGCCGGAACTCGCCGTCGTCGGCCGGCGGCGGCGGCGGCGGCGCGTAGTCCGCGTCCGTGAGCGCGGACGGCGCGGGCTCGCGGCGCGGCGGCGGCGACCGCCTCGGGCTGCAGGCCGCGTAGGCGTCGTAGATGTCCGCGGGCGGCGGCGGCGGCGCCCGCTGCTTCATCTTCGTCTTCTTCTTCTTCGTCGTCGTCGCCGCGCGGCGCGGCTCGCGGCGCCGGGGCTCGGGCGCGCGGCGCGGCGGCGCCGCGGACGCGGGCGGCACGTAGGACCGGTGGTTCCGCCGCGTGACCGCCGCCTTCTCGTCGCGGAGCTTGCGCGCGGCGTCGCGGGCGCGGCCGCGCTGGAGCGCCGCCGGCGACGGCGCCCGGGCCGCGCGGTGGAGCGCGCGCGTCTCCTCCAGGAGCCGCCGGCCGATGCGGTCGGGCGAGCCGCGCGACTCGAGCGGCGGCTCGCGGTCGCGGGGCTCCGCGGCGATCTGCAGGCGCAGCTCCTGGCGCCGCGCCGCCGACGCGTCGGCGCGGGCGATGTCCGCCTCGGCCGTCGCGAGCAGGTCCTCCGCCGCGGCCGCCTGCTCGTCCAGCACCGAGGCGGCGTTCCGCGCGTCCGCGAGCTCGAGCGCGAGCTCGTGCCGGACGGCGCCGAGGTCCGCCTGGCGCGCGAGGGCCTCCTTGAGGCGCCGGTCGTGCTCCGCGCGCTCGAAGCGGATCGTCGCGTCGACGACGGCCGCGTCGCGGTCGTAGCGCCGGTCGCGGTCCGCGGCGCTCCGCCGCTGCTCGTCGACGCTCGCGCTGAGGGCGTCGAACTGGCGCTGGAGCTGCTCGCGCTCGTCGATGGCCTCGCGCCGCGCCGCGTCGAGGCGCTTGACCTTCGTCTCGAGCGCCTCGAGGGCGCTCAGCATCTGGCGCTGGTGGTGGGCGTCGCCGCCGAGGCCGCTCAGGGACGCGGAGACGAGGACGCGGTGGCCGTTGACCGTGAGCGACGCCTCGCCCGCGGCCGGGGCGGGCTGCGCGGCGAGCGCCGACGCGTCGTCCATGAGCGCGGGGCTCGCCTCGGCCGGGCTGCCCATAACAAACAGATTCGGCTCGATCGCAATTTCGGCTCAAGTGGAGGTCAAGTGCCGCGGCTGTTGCCCCTCGTCGGCGGCGCTGAGCGCCGGGGCTGCCCCCGGCGGGCGCCGGCGCCATGGCCCACAACGCGAGCGTGCTGACGCGCGACGAGCTGCGGAACCGGCGCGGGAAGCACTGGAACCACGGCTACCGGCTGGGCCTGCGCATCGCGGAGGACGAGGCGAAGCCGAGGCCGGCGAAGCGGAGCCTGCGGGCGTCGACGCGCCGGATGCTCGCGGACTTCCCGCCGTCGGAGACGACCATCGACCTGCGCGGTCTCCTCCCGTCGCTGAGCGACGCGGCGCTCTGGGAGGGCGCCTGCTCCCTCGCCGAGGAGTCCGCGTACGTCGCGGCCGCGCGCGGCGCCGCGCGCGACCCGCGGCTCGAGGGCCGGCCGCCGCCGGGCCTGGACCCGACCCTGTCCCACGCCGCGGCGGCCGACGGCTCCGTCGCCGAGTGGTGCGAGCAGCTCCTCGAGGGGGCGCTCGACGGCGCGCTCGTCGAGGGCTGCGAGTGGCGGTACCCGAATCCCGCGACGCACGGCAAGACGCTGAACATCTCCGGCTGGGAGAATCTCCAGTTGGAGCCCCTGCGGGCCCTGTCCTTGAGTTTGGGCACGGCGCTGACGGCCGTCGACGCGAGCGGCACGACGCTCGGCGACGGCGACGTGCAGTCGTTCTGCGCGCGTTTGTTCGCGTGCCGGTCGCTGCGCCTCGCGGGCTGCGCGCAGCTGTCGAACCTGGCCATGAAGGCCGTGGCGCTGTGCTGCCACGAGTCCCTCACGCAGCTCGACGTGAGCAGGTGCGCGCGCCTCAACGCGGAGAGCTGCGGCTGGCTCAGCGGCACCTTGGGCTACGGGCAGCCGTCGTGCCGCAACCTGCAGAGCCTGGACATCAGCGGCTGCGCGCGCATGACCGACGACGCGCTGAAGAGTCTGGGCGTGGGCTGCCGGCGCCTGCGGTTCCTGGGCATCGCCGCGTGCAAGGACGTCACGGACAAGGGCGTCGCGCGGCTCGCGTCGCGGTGCGCGCGGCTCGAGGTGCTGGACGTGAGCGACTGCCACGGCGTCGGCGACCGGAGCTTCCGGGCTCTGGGCCGCCACTGCCACCACCTGACGGCGCTGCTAGCGCCGCGGTGCGGCGAGCTCACGAACAAGTCCGTGCGCGCGCTCGCGCGGGGCTGCCCCGGGCTGACGACGCTCAACGTCGCCGGCGCCGCGCCGTTGTCGGAGAGCGTCTTCGGCGAGCTCGCCATGGGCTGCCGCGCGCTCCACACGCTCAACGTGACGGGCTGCGAGGAGGTGACCGCGAACGGCCTGCGCCAGGGCAGGACAAGAGAGCGAAATTCCCAACTTCAAAGGCTCCTTTCTCGGCCGTTTTCCACTCGTTTCGGCTGACTTTTGGACGAGCGATCATCTCTTGGAACGGTCTCGAAGCGTGGATGCTTTTCCCGGAACGCGCGCGCGCGGAACACTCACGTTGAAGCGACGTTGAATCACCCTTGTCCTGCCCAGGCCTGCGCGCGCTCGTTCGGGGCATCGGCCACGTCGTCGAGGCCAAGGCCTACTTCGGCTTCGCGCCGGCGCCGGGGCTCACGGAGCGGGAGCTCGCCGGGTCGCAGAAGGATCTGGAGAACCGGAGCGCCCTGGAGATCAGCGGCCTCTTCCGGCGGTTCCTGCGGCGGCGCGCGGCGCGCGCGAAGCTGCGGGAGCTCCGGCAGCACGGCGCGTCGCGCCACATCGCGCGCTGCGCGTTGCGCTGGCTCGGCCGCTGCCGCCAGCGGGACCACGACTGGCGCAAGAAGCGCGCCGTGACGGCCCAGGAGCTCCAGCGCTTCTACCGGGGCTACCGCGGCCGCTTGGAGGTCTGGCAGGAGAAGCACGACCGCGGGGCAGGACAAGGGTGATTCAACGTCGCTTCAACGTGAGTGTTCCGCGCGCGCGCGTTTCGGAAAAAGCATCCGCGCTTCGAGAACGCTCCGAGAGATGATCGCTCGTCCAAAAATTAGCCGAAACGAGTGGAAAATGACCGAGATGGGAGCCTTTGAAGTTGGGAATTTCGCACCCTCGTCCTGCCAGGCACGACCGCGCGGTGCTCCGGTCCAAGACGAAGCAGGTCATCAAGTGGCAGGCGGCCTACCGGGGCTGGATCGCGCGCAAGCACGACCCCAACTCCGTGCTGCCGGCGCTGCGACGATTGCGCGCGCACCACGCGCGCGAGCGGCGGCGGAAGGGCGCGGCGCGGATCCAGGCGCTGGGCCGGCGCTACTTCGCGCGGCGGCGGACGGCGGTGCTGCGCCAGGTGCGGTCCCGCGTGCGCAACGACGAGCTCGTGGCCGCCTTCCACATGCAGAACGTGCTGCGGATCCTGCTGGCGCGGCGCGCGGTCACGCGGAAGCGCGTCGCGCGCGACCGCCTCGAGGAGCTCATGGAGCACGCGGCGCGGCGCATCGTGTCCTTCTTCCGCATGGTCTTCGGCAAGTCGCTGGCGGACCGCCTCCGCGCGGAGCTCGCGCGGCTCCGGTCCATCCGCGAGAAGTCGGCGGTCGTCGTCGAGCGGTGCACGCGGGGCCTCTTCGGCCGCCAGCGCGCGCGGCGGCGCAAGGTCTACGTGGCGCTGCTCAACTTCAGGGCCACGGAGATCGAGCGCGTCTGGCGCGGGAGCCGCATCATGCACTGGAAGCACCTCCGCATGAACCGCGTCGCGGGCGCGGTCTTCGGCCGCCAAGACTTCGAGCGGAGCCTCCGGTCCGCGGGCGTCGAGGAGCGCTACGCGGCGTGGATGCGGGCGCTGACGAAGGACTCCTGCAGCGACAGCGACGGCGGCTTCGGGGACCTGGACCACGCGTGGGTCGAGCGGATCACGCACGGCGAGTCGACGTGGTACAACACGAAGAGCGGCGAATCGGCCGACGACGACCCGCGCAACGACCCCGTCATCAACGAGCTGCTGGGCTGCAGCGTGCGCGTCTACTGGCCCATGATGGACGAGTGGTACGAGGGCACGCTCGCGAAATACCACCGGCGGAAGAAGCGGTTCCGCGTCGAATACCACGACGGCGACCACGAGTGGCTGAACTTGGACGCGAACATGGAGCGGCTGCAGCTGTTCGACGCCAACGGCGACTGGGCGGAGATGCAGTACGCGCGGCGGCCCGCGCTCGACGCGCGGCTCGCGCGCAGGCAGGACCGGTTGGACCTGAAGCGGAAGGCCGCGGAGCTCGAGGAGGAGACGCGCGCGTGGGAGATCATCGCCGAGCCGGAGAAGGACGACATGGAGTCCTACGACGAGGAGGCCGAGGTCGCGAAGCCGCTCACGGAGCGCTTCGGCGACGCGCCCAAAAAGGAGAAGTGGCTCAACCGGTTGACGGGCGAGGTCAAGTTCCTCAAGGAGGACGCGATCTGGTGGATGGAGGCGCGCGACGAGCACAAGAACTTCTGCTTCGAGCACGGCGAGACGGGCGAGCGCGTCTACCACGACCCGCGCTTCGAGAAGGACGTCGACGCGCCGAACATGCGGGCCTGGAAGGCCGAGTGCCTCGCGGAGATGCGCCACAGCGTCTACCTGGGCTCGGCGCTCGTCGAGGACTGGGACCGCGACGCGGGCAAGAAGAACCGCCAGGACATCCTGAAGAAGGTGCTGCGGAACGCGAAGCTGTTCGTGCGCGCGCTGACGACGTCGGTGACGCAGGCGCGCGAGCTCTGGACGCCCGAGGAGTTCGCCGAGGACCAGGAGCTGACCTACTCCGCCTACGTGCTGCGGCGCGTCAACGAGATGCGCGACGCGGCCGAGGCCATGGTCTTCGAGCACCGGCAGAAGAAGCTGGAGATCCTCAACAACTCGCGGCGCTGGAAGGGCCTCGTGTGCAAGTCGTGCAAGCACACGTGCACGGACCAGGCGGCGACGCACTGCCCGACCTGCGGCGTGCGCCTCGACTCGAGGGTCACCATCGCGCTCCGCAGCGGCGAGCCGAGCCCCTTCGCGTCGAAGCCGCCCTCGGGCAAGGCGACGCCCGTCGCGGGCAGCCGGCCGGGCACGGCGGACCGCAAGAAGAAGGCGCTCCTCGAGTCGGACTCGTCGTCGGTGTCGTCGTCCTTCGTCGGCGACTCGTTGAGCGGCATCGTCTCCAACGATCTCGAGTCGCTGGCGTCGAAGTCGCACGCCGAGGAGAGCAAGGGCGCGGACAGCGCGCTCGACGAGGACGCGCCGTCGTGGATGAAGCTCGAGGAGAAGGAGGCCGAGGACGAGGACCTCGGCGAGTCCGACGACGACCTGGCCGAGGGGTCGCTGACGACGGGCGAGGCCGCGAGCCGGCTCTCGGCGTCGCGCGCGTCGTCGTCGAAGCGGTCCTCGTCGCGCGCCGCGGCCTCGTCGTCCGCGGCGTCGCGCAGCTCCGCCCGGAGCTCCGCCGAGTCCTCGTCGGGCGTATCCGGCGACGGGAGCGAGGGGACGTAAGCGGCGTTTGGAGGCGTCGGAGCCGTACTTGAGGGGCATGTTGAGCCGCCGCGGCACGTGTTCGAACAAACTTTGCAAAAGATCGAGCTTCGACTGCTCAAGCGCCTCGACCGCCGCTGCTGGCTCCTCCAGGCACCTCTAGCTTGCGATCAAACCATGGCTCGCACGACCGCTCTCATCTGTTGCATCGTTGGCAGCATCAGCGCGTTGCAACCCGCGCCCAAGGCGGCGAGCAAAGCGGCGGCGCCCAAGGCCTTGAGCAAGGTCGCCGGCGCCGCGGCGCTCGCCGCGGCGCTGACGGTCGCGCCCGGCGCGGCGCTCGCCGGCCCGCTCACCGTCGAGGTCGGCGACCTCGCCGGCGCGTCGAAGACGGGCCTGACCGTGGACCTGCCCGTGCTCGGCCGCTTCGCGGTCGCGCCGGCGGCGAAGACGGGCAAGGCGACGATCGCCGTCGGCGGCGACCTCTTCGGCGCGGCGCAGAACGCGCTCGGCGGCAAGGCCGCCGTCACCGTGACGACGCCGCCCCTCGGCCCGCTGCCGGCGCTCGACGGCGAGGTCCTCGACATCCGCATCGCGAGCCAGCCCGGCTCGCTCGGCGTCACGATCACGAGCCCGGGCCTGCCCAAGCTGCCCATCGGCGGCGGCACGAGCGACTGGCAGGCCATCACCAACGTCGGCTCGGGCGCGACCTACTACTACAACACGAAGACCGGCGTCACGACCTACGACTCGCCGATCAAGGCGACGCCCAAGGCCGCGAAGAAGGCCGCCAAGGCCGCCGCGCCCGCCGCCGCCAAGGCCGCGCCGGCCAAGGCCGCGCCGGCCAAGAAAGCGGAGCCGAAGGCCGCGCCGGCCAAGGCCGAAAAGAAGGCGCCCGCCGGGGAGGCCGCGCCGGCGAAGGCGGAAAAGGCCAAGCCCGCCGCCAAGGCTGCGCCCGCCCCGAAGAAGGAGGAGCCCGCGCCCGCGCCCGCCAAGAAGGAGAAGGTCAAGGGCGAGGCGCTCTTCGGCGGCTCGAAGAAGTAGGCGCCTAAGCAAGACTCACGTTAGGTCGACGCCGAGCTCCGAGAGCATGAGCGCCGCCGCGCCGGGCGATCCGTGCTGGGCCCCGACGGAGTCGAGGAGGTTCTTGACGAGGTTGAAGTCGACGTCGACGGGCGCGAGCGGGTCCCGGCTGTCCTCCTCGTCGCCGGGCGCGCGGTCGAAGGACTCGGCCATCTCCGTCGCCGCGAGCTCCGCCTCGAGGGCCGCGCCGTAGGCGTCGTCCGCGTCGTCGTCGTCCTCGTCCTTCGGCGCGGCCCCCGCCTCCGCCGCGCCCGCGGCGTCGTCGGCCTCGTCGTCCGAGTCGGCGCCGAGGTCCTCGGACACGTCGGGCCGCCGGCCGTCGGCGCCCAGCGCGTCGCCGCGGCGCCCCGCGAGGAGGTCGAGCACGGCGCCCTCGTCGAGGTCGACGGGCGCCGACGGCGGCGCGTCGTCGCCCTCGTCGTCGTAGACGTACTTGTCGAAGCCGTCGACGACGTCGTCGAGCGCCGACGGGTTCGCCGCGCGGCAGCGGTCCTCGACGGCGTCGGCGTCGAGCGTGAGCCAGGCGTCGTCGTCGACGTCCGCCTCGGGCGGCGGCCCCGGGCCCGCCGCCGCCGCGGTCTCGAGGAGCGCGGCCGCCGCGGCGTCGAGGTCCGCGTCGCCGGCGAGGAGCTCGAGGCCCGCGGCGAGCTTCGGGCCCAAGGAGCCGTCGGTCCAGCGCCCCAGGGCCCGCGGCGGCGCGTACGGCGTCGCGAGCAGCGCCGCGTAGGCCCGTTTCGAGAACCGGACGACGGCGGCTTCGGGGGGCCCGCCGAAGCGCGCCGCGGCGCGCACGGCGGCGTCGCGCGCGTTCAGGCGCCGCCGCGCCGCGTCGTCGTCGCGCTTCCGCTTCGAGAGCGCGTTCCGGTCGTCGTCCGCTTTGCTCCCCGCGGCGCGCTTCTCGCGCGCGTGGCGCTCGAGCGCCGCGGCCGCGACGGCCGCGAGCCGCGGCGCGCGGCGCAGCGCCGCGGCGGCGCGCGCCGGGAGGACGACCCGCGCGTTCATGCGCAGGGCCGCGACGGCGGGGTGCTCGGCGCAGCCCCGCGGCGCCGGACCCGCGTGGTCGAAGCGGAGCCGCCGCGCCGCCGCGGCCGACGCCTCCCGCGCGGCGCCGTTGTCGCGCGCCGCGCGCCGCGCCGCCGGGTCCCGGAGCAGCGCGAGCGCGTCGCCGACGGCCAGGGGCCCGCCGGGCTCGTCCAGCACGACGTGCACCGCGCCGTCGACGATCCACGACCGGCCCGCGGCCGACTCGGGCTCGAGCCACTCCGGGAGCTCGTCCGCGGCGTCGATGAGCAGGAACTCGCCGTCGCCGTCCGTGACGCGCACGGCGACGCCCGCGGACGCCTCGAAGAGCAGCGCGACGAGGAGCCACTCCTCGTCCGAGTCGGCGACGCGGACCGCGCCGCCGCGGGCCGCCGCGAGGCCGCCGGCCGGGCCCGCGGCGTCGTGCCACGCGTGGCGCCCGCCGAGCGCCTCGAGCGTCGCCGCGACGCGCGCCGCGGCGTCGCTCGCGCCGTCGAGGGCGTGCGCCTCGAAGCGCACGGTCTCCTCCTCGCTCGCGGCGGCCATGCCTTCGCGGCTGAAGGGCATCATCGATTCCGGGCACCGCGACACGAAGGCCTCGAGGTCGGGGCCGGCACCGCCGCGGAGCATCTGTTCCATGGCTGCGGCGATGTCATCTTCCATTGCGGTCTCAGGCCATGTCGATTGCTCGCCGGCGTCAACAGTGGCGTCAAGCTCGTCGCTTGAACTTCAAGTTGCAGAAATTGTCGATGTATTCCAGCGCGGTGCTCGTCGCCGCATCCAACGTAGCCATGGAGACGGAATCGCGGCCGCGTCGCGCGCTTACCGAGGAGACGAATGCGCCGGAGAATCTTCCCGAATTGTTTAAGAGAGCTGCCAAGCTGCCCGCCGAAGGGCTGCCCGCGAAAGACGAGCTGCCCTCCGCGGACGAGCTGCCCGCCGCGGACGAGTCGCCCGCCGAGGAGGGACTGCCTGCGAAGGAGGAACTACCCGCAAAGGAGGAGCTGCCCGCCGAGGACGAGCCGCCCGCGGAGGAGGAACGGCCTGCGAAGGAGGAGCCGCCCGTGAATAAGGAGCCGCCCACGGAAGACGAGCCGCCTGCGGAGGACGGGCCGCCCGTGGACGCCGCGCTGGTCGCGGACGACGACGCGCTGTCCGACAGCGAGGACAGCGTCGTCGATGACGCCGCGGGGTCGAACTGGGCCGTGAAGGCCGACAGGGCCGACCTCGTCGCCGTCGACGTCCTCCCGTCGCCGGAGGTCCGGCGCGCGAAGACGGTCGAGCCGGAGCCGGCGGCGCCGCCCGCCGCGCCGGAAGCGCCGCCGCAGCCCGCCGCCGCGCCGAAGCCCGCCGCGCTGGACGCTCTGCGACGTGTTCCAGTGCCGGTGATTGGGGCGTTTGTTTAACTATTGCTAGCTCTCTTATTGTGTTGGACTCCCTAGTAGTCGCCGTACGCGTAGGGGTCCGCCGGCGGCCGGACATTGTAGTCAGAGGCGCGCATCTCGCGCTGGTAGTCGCGGTCAGGGTGCTTGTGCACCCCCATATTGCACAGATTGTCGATTCCACCGCATCTCGCGAGCAGCGCCGCGCGCTCGGCGCGGGCCGCCGCGCGTATGCTGCGGTCATTGCGGAGCCGCGGAGAAACGAGTTCGAGCGCGGCGCCCTCGTTTGTGCACGCGGCGAGCGCGATGTCGAAGTCGTCCTGCAGTTCCTCGGCCGCAAAAGTGAGAGAGTACCCGACATTCTGGACGGCCGCGAGGACGACGTCCCGGTCCGCTCGGAGCGCCTCAGATGCGAATTCGAGCAAATCACCTGAAGAGCGAACCGCCAATAAAACCACGTCTCGGTCGTCGCGGAGCCTCTCGGAGGCAATCTCGATACCGCATGCGTCTCTTCGCACCACTTCTAGGACTAGTTCCTTGTCGTCGCGAAGGGAAACGTCCGCAGCGTGCAGGAAGTGGCTAGCGAAGCTTGGAGGGTTCTGCAAGTCGTCATACTTGGCCAGAGCCTCCATGAAGAGCGCGCGATCGGACTTCAACCGCGTCGACATTTTATCGAAGCCCATCTCGAGCCCATGCGCGTGCTTCACGACGTAAGACTGGATGGCCTCCGACGCGAGGGCGCGATCATCCCGCAGCCGCGCCGATGCGTATTGCAGGGAGAGGAAGCCTCCACCGGTCCCCCGCATCGCCGCCTCGACAATGCGCCGGTCGTCGCGCAGCGCGTCGGGTGCGTGCTGCAAATTTGGGTAGATGTTGTTTCGCTCCTGGGAGACGGCCGCGAGGACCACGTCGCGGTCGCCTCGAAGGCGCTCGGACGCGTAATTGAGCGGCAGCGTTTCACTCATCGCGTCCAGCATCACCTCCTTTGAGTCGCGGATTTGGGCCGGAAAGATTTCAGGTTTCCGATGAGATAAATATGCGTCGAGTGTTTGAATATTGCCGAGTGCCGCGCGGGCGACATCGTGGTCGAGGCGGAGCTCCTCCGAAAGCTCGGCGTAGATCATCTGATTATTTGAGATGCCTGCCAGAATCGTCGACCTCTCGTGTTCTATCGCCGCCACGACGATCTCCTTATCTTCGAGAAAGCGACTGTCGACGGTGTGAAGCGTGTCCCCATCCAATCTCACGGCGGCCAGGACAACCGCGCGGTCCTCGCGCCACGCGTCCGGCGCTTTCGCGTACGCCATTCCACCTTCCCCGCGTTCAACCACTTCCTGCAGCCAGCGATGTATCACACCGCGCGTCTCCCGTCCAGGCGCGACGCAAAGCATCAAGCCCTTAAACCGCGTGTCGCCATAGATAAGCGTCCGCGCAACACGGCACGTCGACGAGAAGCGGACGAGGCTCTGGAGGCGATCAAACTTAGACGCATCGGATCCCGGGAAATTGATAATCATCGGGCCGTCGCCGGGCGCCAGCACGTAGCTAAACACAGACCACGCCACGTCCGGCGACATCGATGAGAGGCGCATGGTTCTGTGGCGGTCGCCCTTGATCCCGGGCGCTTCGGGGGGAGAATTTGGGGGCTCGATAGGCGGGCGCGGGCGTCGACGGCGCCCGCGCCGGGTCGCTTTGTGCTCGCTGTTTTTTGCCAGAGCTTGATGTCAACATCTACGCCGAACCTCGGCCGGCTTGGCCTGGCGCGTCGCGAGGGATCAATGCTCCGGTGGTAGAGGCCGATAGGAAATGCACCGCCTCCTCCTCCTCGCCCTCACGGCCTGCGCCACCCAAACATGCGACGAAACGAAACCCATGCTCTGGCTCCACATCCACAACGCCGGCGGCACCTCGATCCGCACGCTCGCGGAGACCTACGGCGAGCGCCCCCTCGAGCCCGCGACGAAGAACTGGAACCTCTGGCTGCACGCAAAGGAAACCTGGAGGACCATCTCCTGTCGCGAGAAGGTCGATCTGTTCAAGCGCCAGGCCGCCGCGACGTGGACGATGATCGAGCGGCCGTTCGACGCCGCGGACGCGGCGTGCGCGGAGCTCGCGTACGGCACGACCCTGCGGAGCCCCGTGTCGACCATGCTCAGCACCATCGTCACGAACAACGTCGACGTCGACGCCCTCTTCGACGCGTTGGAGCGCCGCGGCTCGCCTTTGAACGCGTCGATCCCGCACGATTACCTGATCGAGGAGGGCGCGCTCCTCGGCCACTTCGACAACTACTTCGTGCGGTCCTTAAACGGGCGCGACGTGTCGCAGGCCGTCGGCCTGGGGATGCTCACGGAGGCGCACCTCGACACGGCGTTGGAGCGGCTGCGCCGGTTCGACGTCGTCCTCGTGTTGGAGGACGGCGCGGCGCTCGACGACGCGCCGCTCCGGAGCTTCCGGGGCTGGCCCGCGGCGGAGGGCGATGCCGCGCGGCACAACGCCCACTCCGCGGCGAGCAAGGCGCGGGCGCTCGCCGGCGGCCTCGAGGGGGACGCGGGCGTCGCGCTGCGGGAGCGACGGCTCGGGGTCCTCCGAGCGAACGCGAAATTGGACGAGCGGCTCCTCGTCGCCGCGCGCGACATGGCCCGTTCAGTACGGCCGCCCTGCGCCAGAGCCACCGGCCGCCGCGCCCTCGACGCCGGCGACGACCCGGACTTGTGGCGCGCGCGCGCGACGAATGTTACCGCGACCGGTCCGACCGCGGACTGCGAGACCTGGTTCGACGGCTGCAACACCTGCGCCGCGCGCGACGGCCGCGTGACGGGCTGTACGAGGAAGCTTTGCGCGACGCCCGATCCGCCAAAATGTCTGAAAAAAGCACCCGCCACGGGCGGCGTCAAACTCCTGAACGTCGGCCACGGCACGTCCGGCACGCGGAGCCTCTACGAGGCCCTCTGCGCTGCGGGCTACGTCGCCCTCCATTTCAACCAGGTCTGCAACGTCAACGAGACCCTGCCGGCGCCCCGCGCGGCGCGGCTCCTCGACGCGCACGCGCGCGCGACCGCGCTCTTCGCGGAGGCGTCGTGGACGCGGGACCACCTCGACGGCGTGCGGACGCGCCAGTTCGCCAACTGGTTCGCCCTCGAGAAGCAGAAGCTGCGGGCCCAGGGCCAGTACGTGTCGACCTGGCCCGCGGCCAAGGTCGCGGCTCTGAAGGCGCGCTACGAGCCGCGCGAGCACGGCGCGTTTTCGCGCGTGCGGGCGCTCTGCCGCGGCGCGGGCGGACCGCACTGCGGCATCGAGTCCTGGCTCGCGGAGCTGCGGGCCGCCGTCGCCGCGGTGATCGACGGCGGCGCGGAGGCCCTCCTCGACGCGCCCTACGACCGCATGGCGGCCTTCGTCGCGGCGCGGGCGCCGGACGTCGTCGTCGCCCATACCGTGCGCCCCGCGCAGCCCTGGCTCGCGAGCCGCGTGGCGAAGCACGGCGGCGTCGACGCCCTCTGCCGGAGTGCCTACGTCGACGAGGGCGGCGACCCCTTCGACGCGTCCGCGTGCGCCGAGAACGCGCTCGCGGCCGGCGTCGCGGACCTCGGCGCCGCGCTCGGCGACGACATCTCGGCGCAGGACGAGGCCGCGGGCGTGCGCGCCTACGAGGCGTCGGTGGCGCGCAGGCGCACCGACGCGCTCCGGGCCGTGGGACGCGACCGCTACCTCGAGATGTCCTGGTGGGACGCCGGCGGCCACTTCGACCGCGTCGTCAAGGCGCTCCGGCCCGCGCGGACGCTGCGACGGCCCCTCGCCGCGGCGCTCGACGCCGACGGCCGCGTCGCCTGGCATTTCGCGGCCGCGTCGTTCGCCCACGTCGTGGTCACGCGCTTCGACGACGGCGAGGCGACGCTGCCCGCGTTGCTCGAGGCGCGGCTGCTCGCTTTCGAGGCCGTGACGTACCCCTCGCTGGCGCAGCAGACGACGACGGAGTTCGCGTGGGTCGTGCACGCACGCGCCTGGCCGAAGCCGCTCGCTCGCCGGCTCCGCGCGCTCTTCGCGCGGAGCCACTTCTTCCTCGTCGACGACCTGCCGGACGGCGCCGACGCCTGCGGCGCTTTGGCCCGCGTCGGCGTCCCCTGCGGCCGCGAGGTCGACTTCGCTTTGACGACGACGCTCGAGCCCGGCGAGGGCCTCCACGCGGACTTCCTCCGCGCGGCCCAGGCCGCCGTGGAGAAGGACGCGCCGGCGACGGTCTGCGCCGCGGGCGCCCTCGAGTGGCGGCCGGTGCACTGGGACGCGACCCGCCAGTATACCAAGGCGACGCTGAAGGCCGCCGACGCCATCCCGGGCCGCGTCTTCGCCGTCGACGAACCGTGCGCGCGACCGGGCGCGACGGCCGTGCGCTCCCGCCGCGAGGAGACGCTGGGCCCCGCCGTCGCGCTCGCCGGCGTGCGGCCTTTGCGCGAGACGCTCGTCGGCGAGGCCCTCCTCGGCGCCGCGCCGCGCCGCGACGGCGCGGAGGTGAGCGTCGCGGCGCTCCGGCGCGACGGCTGGCTCAAGACGCCCTTCCGCGCGCGGCACCGCGCCGCCTGGGCCTACGTCGTCGACAACGCGAAGACGCGCGACGCCCTCGCGGCGCAGCGGGCGTGCGCGGCGTCCGGGGACTGCGGCGCGAGGAAGGCGGGGCGCGGACGCGGGAGGAGGCGGAAGGGGCCCGGGAAGTGAGGGTGTTATTAGTAAGTTGAGGATTATGCGGCGACTAGGCTAGCCTGAGGGAGGGGATTATGGCATACTAAGTAATTTATGCAACTACTTCGTAGTACTACTTTCACCTGTCTCTGCTACTTGTAGTAGTTCGCCGATAGTTCGAAGACGCTCGTTCGCTGGCTCAAATCCCTTGGAGGCCGCGAGAACGTACAATCGTAAGGCTTCTTCGAGATCGCGCTCCACAAACGTTCCGGTCTCGTATGCTGCTCCGAGATTGTATTCGGCAAATGGCAATCCTAAATTCAAGATGGACTTCCAGTACAACACGGACTGCTCGGAAACACACATGCCGTTGTCGTTCTCAAGCGCGGCGATGGATTCCCTGTGTCCTTTGGCGGCCGCTCGCGCATACCAGCGTCTGGCATCATCGACACGTCCGAGGTTGTTCTGGTAGTTTCCAAACGCATATTCAGCACAGGTCAAGCCTTGAAGTGCAGCGAGCTCGTAGTAGTTCATGGCTTCGAGGTAGTGGGGCTCATCAAGACTGAGTAGCAAATGGGCGAGATTGTTTTGCGCTGTTGCAAGGCCCCCGTCCGCAGCCGTGCGATACAGCCGGAGCGCCTTCTGCTTGTCCACCTTGCCTCCCTCGCCGCTCACATACATATACGCAAGCTTTGAAAAGGCATCCAAATCCCCGAGCTCCGCGGCGCGCTTCCAGATCTTCATGGCTTTCTTCATGTTCTGCTGGACGCCATGCTGACCGTTCGCGTAGAGTACTCCCAGCTCGGTTATAGCTTCCGGCACCTCGTTCTCCACGTGGCGACGAATCGTCGCGAGATGTTCCGCGTCGTCTTTCGGGCACGGTGCTCGACAGAGAGGACATGGCTTGTTTTGGGTCTTCTTGTTGCACGATGCGCAGATCTTCTGCACGCAGCAGGAGCGAAACCAATGCGTTTCATTTATGTCCCAGTCCTCGAGGCAGACCAAGCAACGCGACCCGAACCGCACCGACCCGTGGAGTAAAGGCTTTTCTGGCTCCGGGTTCGCCTCTCGCCGCGTGCGAGCGGCCTCGTGCTCCGCGGCGATGCGCGCGCGGACCTCATCCGCGTGCGACCGCGGCGCGGGGCCGTAGACCGGGGGCGACGGCGGGGGCGTCGGCGCCTCCGCCCGCGCCGCCTCTGCCGCGCGCTCGTTTCGGATCTTCTTGCACGCCTTGCGGTGGCCGCGCTCGCGCCAGTCGATGCGTTGACATTCCGTCGAGCAATACTGCGTCGTCCCGCACGGGCAATTGAGTTTCGCTTTTGCGCCGCAGATGGTACAGGTCAAACGCAGCTTCAGGGCTTTCGCCCGAGCCTTGACCTTCTCGAACTCCTTCTGCTTCTTTTGCCAGTCGGGGACGTCCATATTGAATTTGTGGCGCTTCGGGGAGACTGAGAGGCGGCGTCGGAGGTCGAGAATGTAGCGGGCGCGTGGTCAATCGCGTGCGCGAGCCCCGTACCCAAGTCCTCTGCTAGAGATTTTCGCCTCAAGGATATTGCCTTTTGCTCGCCGATCTCGCAGGCCTCAGATCCTCAGATCCCTGCGGCAGACCGTGCTCAGAACCATGCCCGAGCTCACGAAGATCGACAAGTTCGAGAAGCTCGCACAGGGCTTCTATTTGTATTCCATGTTCGTCGCGCCCGCGTGGTTCATGGACGACCAGTTCGTCGACAAGTCGCTCGCGACGAACCCGGGCGTCCTCTGCCTCTGCTCGATCATCGGGTGCCTCTGCGCGTGCATCACCGCGCTCACGTACGTCGCGCGCACGGCGGACTGCGCCGACAACACATTCCTCAAGACCATCGACCAGGTCAGCGCGGCGACCTGGGCCCTCGTCGCGGTGAACGACGTCCGCCTCAAGGACCAGTACCCGGAGAGCGCGTTCCAGCAGAACATGGTCCTCTACGCGGCTCTCATCGGCGGGTTGTACTACCAGTCGACGACGCGCGGCGAGGCCAAGAAGGCCAAGTGAGCGGCTGCGCCGGCCCAAGAAGAGGCGGAGCGCCGTCGCGCGCGACCGCGGCCGCGGCCGCTGCTCGAGCCCGGGCGACCGAGTCCCCGAAGCGACCGGGTGAGACGAGCGACGCCCTCGGAAGATCGAAGGAAGCGCACTAGTAAAGAAAAACACACGACTAAAGAAACCCGACGATCCGGTCCACGATGGGCCCGTCCGCGTCGCGCTCGAGCGTCGCGGCGAAGCGGACGGCCCCCGCGAAGCGCGCCTTCTCGTGGTGCGCGAGGAAGCGGTCGGCCTGGGCGGCCTGGGCTTCCCGGAGGCCGAGCTGGTCCCGGCGGAGCGCCGCGAGCTCGCGCGCGGCCCCGAGGCAGCCCGCGGCCGCGCGCGGGAGCAGCGCGGCGGCGCGCGCGTCCGCCGCGGCGTCGTCGGCGACGGGCGCCGCGCACTGGCGGGCGACGTCGGCGCCCCGGGCCTCGGCGGCGAGCTCCGCCTCCGACTTGGCCGCGAGGGCCCGGTGCCGCGGCGCGAAGTCCCCGGCGACGCGCGCGGCCTCGCGCGCGGCGTCCGCGACGCGCGTCGTCCCCAGCACGGCCTCCCGCGCGAGGCGCGCGAGGCCCTTGCGCACGTTCGTCAGCACCGACGAGACGCGCACGTTCCGGACGCCCGCCGCGTCGTGCACGAGCCTCGCGTACGGGAAGAGCACCGGCTCGCCGCCGATGGACACGTAGCAGTGCAGGCGGTCGCCCTTGCCGGCGGCTTGGCAGGGGCGGTACACGGGCCCGTCGCCGTCGTAGGCGGCGGCCGCGTCGTGGTCCTCGTAGCACAGCAGGATCGCGTCCGGATCCGCCGGCGCGGCCGCCGCCGGCTCCCGCGGCGGCTCGTGCAGCCGGGGCAGCGCCCGGCGGCTCGCGCGGACGCAGGCCTCGCGCGCGGCCTGGGGCAGGAGCTGGAAGACGGCGTCGGAGACGCCCGGCGGCGCCCGCGTCGCGTCGATCGCGCGCGCGTCGCCGAGGTGCGCGTACGTCGCCTCGTCGACGGCCGCCGCGCGCCGCGCCGCCGCGAGCGCGCCGAGGAGCCGCAGCGCGAGGCGCACCTCCACGCGCCAGCGCGGCGCCGCCACGACGCGGGCGTCGAAGGTCAGCGGCTCGCGCGCGAGGGACGCGACGAGGACGGCGCCGTCGCGGTAGATCGGCCGGCCGGCCGCCGCGTCGACGAAGAAGACCTCGCCGCCGGCGACGTCGGGGAAGAGCGCCCGGCGCGCCTCGTCCGCGAGCTCCGCGAGCGTCGACGACTCGTAGAGCGTCACCGTCGCCGGGAAGCCGCCGCGGCCCCGCAGCGCCACCTCGTAGCGGCGCTCGGCGTCGCGCTTGGCCTTGGCCTTGGCGCGTCGCTCCTCCTCCTGCTCGTGATGGTACGCGCCCTGCTGCGCCATGAAGTTGTCGAACGCATTGCAGCCCCCGCGGCCCATTGCGGAGAGCCTAGACGCTGCCCGTCAGGTTCCCGGTGGCTGGATTGCACGGCAACTTGACTTTGGATTGCACGGCTG